CCCTTACAGCTAGACCCGAAACGAGCAAATTCATCGAGATCAGGACCAAGGGGCAAGCGTGTGATGCTATCAAGTTGTTCCGGCTTCAGCTTGTCCATCTTGTCTTGAATGCGGATGGTGTCGGCCTCCGCTGCAGCGGCGTCCGCGGCGTCCAGAGCCTCCTGCCTCGCTCTCGCCCCCATGGAAGACAAAGGCAAGCTATTATAGCGTCATCCTGAGGCAACAGCGATGTCGCGTGGGCTGGGGACGCGACGATGTGACCGGTCGCCGAGCCAGGATCGATCAGGATAGACGCACGCTGGAAGGGGGGGGGCACCACCAAAGGCTGTTGCGGCAGAGCTGGGGCGCTCGACGCTGATGGCACCACCGCAGGTCCGACAGGTATGGCCGCGGACCTCGTGGCTGATGACGATGACACTGCCGTGGCCCTGGCAGTCGCCTCTTCATGAACCTCGTGCCCTAGACAAACTCCCGAGGAGCTCAAAACGTGGTCTTGCAGTGGTGCCAAATGCGCTCGTGACGAAAAAGGTGGGGCAGAAAATGGCATGCTAGGGGCGTTCGAGGGCACAGGAGGTGGTACATTCGGGTCGGCAGCAGCATCCACAACTTGGCCAGGCGTTTGCGCTCGCAGGAGAGTGAGAACTTGTTCCAATAGCATTTCAGTACGGGAAGCCGAAGTCGAGGTGTGTGATGCAGCGTTGCGTGGTGAACCAACCCGTTCGTCCAAAGGTAAGGAAGATGTGGGCTGATCTACAACGGTGTGTGTAGGGGCATGGCTTTTAACCGCGGCGGAATGTTCACGAAGTTGCATGTTGGCAAGTTTGAACGCCAAGGTAGACACGGACGGCTGTCCTACATCAGCGGGGGGGCGCAAAACCAGTGGCGAAGAACAGAGGGAACCGTCTTCTGAAGCATCCTTATTTTCCCCCAACAGCCCAGAACTACGAAAATCACGCCGATCATACTGCACTTGCCTGTGACCCCGACCTGACTTCCTTCTCCCTTTGCCACCTCGACCGCTGTCCGAGCTGGTCGCCCGGCTGTTGCCTCCGCTCCTCGTCTGGCTCCGGCTTCGGCTACGCCTACTCGAAGGCGTGTTGCTCCCGCGACGGTCGTCGCTCCGGCTGCGATCGCGCCAAGACGAAGGCGCGTGACGTTGCTGGCGGTCTGTGCTCCGGCTCCTGCTCCGGCTCTGGCGGTGGCGACGCGTCGACGAAGATCTGGGAAGTTGGGTTCCCGCGTACCCCCGCCCGCCATCTTCGACCCCGCGCCCTCGCGAAGCGCGCTCGGTCGTCCCGCTCTTGGCCGTAGGGGCTTGTTCACCCCAACAGTTCCTCCAGTTGGTGGAGGCAGGAGTCGCCAACTGACTGTAATCCTTGGTCCCTCCGGAAGCATGGACACGGCTTGCAGAATCCTGCTGAGGGAGCTGCAGATCATGCTGGAAGTCTTCGTTGGTTGCAGTACGAGCAAGAGGCAACCTAATTCCCCCATTGTGTACCACCACCGCTGTTCCCTGGGGACCTTCGGTGAAAGAAGCCCTACGGAGAGCAGACACTAGCTGAAACACACTCTGTTGCAAGGACGGTTCAAGCTGGTCGAGGAAGGGGCTCGATACAAGGTGTGCAAAGCCAAGTCCAGTATAAGAATCGGGATAGCGGTCACGCACAATTTGTTGAAGGCCAGCCCACGCAAAAAGGGCACCAGTTCGGTCGGCATCATGGAAGGCGATCACTTGTGTAGGCGTGTAAAGGGGGCGGGACAGGAATGCTGTGTCCTTCGCGTGAAACCTGTACTCCGCGGCTTCATCGTCCGACGCGCCGTCGGCATCCCCGGCCGGCCCATCCAGCGTCACAGAAACCTGGGGAGCAGCAGCCACTTCCGGCCCCGGGGCCGCCTGGGACGTGAGAGGGGGAATGACACGACGATGGGCGGGGGGCGAAGGCAAAGTTGAAGCTTGCGGGCTTTGTTCCAGGTCCTCCAGCCGTGATCGGAGCGCCCCCTGCTTTGCCCTAGCCGCTCGGACATACTCCTCTCGCGCCGCCAGTTCCGCTTTCTTCTGCGCAGCAGCCCGAGCAGCCTCGCGCTCCTCCTCCTGCTTCCTCGCAGCAGCAGCCAGAGCAGCCTCACGCTCCTCCTCCTGCTTCCTCGCAGCATCCGCCAGAGCAGCCTCACGCTCCTCCAGCAGCTTCCGCTCTTCCGCTGCCGCTATCTTGCTGGCCAGACCTCGGCACCACATCTCGGTCAATTCTTGATAAGCTACGAACTCATCTTGCGGCAAGTTCATCACTGTGGCTTCCTGAGGGAGCGAGAAAGGACGAACGCAAATGGGGGAACCGGGGGACAAACGAGCTGCCCTGACAACTTCGCGCAGGGAGATCCGTCCATCGTTGTAGGCCTTCTCCAGGTCCGCCGGATCCGCCGTGGCGATGTTGTCGCGCAGGTCATCAACTGTGGACGCGCCGGGTGCGGACGCGCTCTCGTCGCTCGTCCCGGCCACTGCAAACAGCTCGCGGTGGATGGCTCGCCCTCAGCCTCCTAGTCGAGGATTTCCTCATTTCCATCCATCAGTTCCACATGGCCACGCGACATGTTGTTCTCTTTTTTCAAAAGGATAGGGCCAGAGGAAGGGTAGCTACTATCGATTTTTAAAAGTGCAGTACGGCCAGAAACAGCAGATGTGTCACCCCCAACCTCTGTTGCGGCAGCAGAACCGATTGCAGCAGAAACAGTAAAGCTGGGCGCAATCGCGGTAGAAGCAAGCCGAGGTCCATGTGAAAAACGGAGATACCCACAGGATAGCATACGCCCGGTGACAAAAGCTTGATGCACACGAGGTTGAAGCGGATCCAACCAAGCAGAAAAGGCGTCCAAAAGCACACCATGCCACGCATAGACAGCAGTCGAAGCTAGCACAAAAGGACCCGTATTATACGGAGACACGAGATTGTCCGACCAAAACACACGCAGAGCAGCACGGCGTTCCTCCGCAACTGGAGCCGAAGTGCGAGCAAAGACCGCTGTGGGTTTGCGATGTTGAAAGGTTTCCAATTCAAATGCCTCGAGGGTGAATGACTCTCCAAAAAAACTTTCCATGTGATTGCGAAAAATGGAGGGAAGGCTGGTGGGGCGGCTGACACCCAATTTGTGTGCACACAACGCTCTCCACGTCGAAACAAGCGGAGTCAAATCGGAGAGCACCACAGGGAAATCCGCGGACATCGGCCGGTACGCCGGCATGAATGCAGTAGAGGTGGTAGCGGACGCGGGAAGCATGCTATCATCTCGAGTCCCACTACACAAAGGCAGCAACTCCGGTTGCTGCATGCAAAGCGTGTCCGCCACCGAAATAACTTCATGGACCGCCGATGCAGACAAAATAGCTCGGGAGGGGCGGCGAACGTAGGAAAAATCACCTACAACATCGCGATGACCGCCGAGGCGCGTATCCTTCGCAAGGTCCCAGTCCCGCGGACGCTTAGCAAACGCATCGCAAGCCAGCATTTCTACAGGAGAAGAAGCAGAGAAGGCTAAGTCTAGATTCTCGTCGGTGGTGAGACCAAATAACCAACAACCCAGTGATTGTGAAGAAAGCGTGACAACAACACACAGCAGTGTGGAGGCCGCGTCCAGCACCCGCTTACTGTGTAATGCCGCTGACGCCAAGTTTAAAGGAGGGGAAGCCGTGGGCGGTAGCTTGCTCCTAGAGATAGATGAAGGTAGGTTCTGTCGTTGACACGCTTGTCCACGACCACGTTGAGATGGGAAAGTTGCTTGTTATTGCTGAGAGACGATCAGCAAGGGTCTGAGGTGAAGTGGGGATCCAACTTCACCTCAGGGGGTACGCAGACTAGACAAATCCTAAGAGGGTAGGTGTCTGAAGGGTATACCTCCTGGGACCGACCCACATCCTATCCACAATAAGATGTACCCTATTTAAGCTAGCAGCCACACTCCTTAACAACACAGTGATGACTACTGAGAATCACATCGCGAACGACGGAAACAATCTGAATCAAAATGGGGTTCGGTCGCGTTGGGCACGCAAAGGTCGGGGTGACTATTGCAACAATAGAAGAAGCTCACACCACCCAAACACGCGCTAGCGTACCACTGCGTACGATGTAGAACAAAACATAAAAAACATGTAGCGGCCCGTAGGCGGCATGATATCAAAGCACAGATCCAGATGGGGCAACAGCCAGCTGTGCCACAGCGCCTGGTGTTCGCGACGTAACGCCATCATCCGTGGAAGGGTTGGTCAAACCACGAGTACGGTGTTTTTGTAAGCACCAAGAATCACAAGGAGCATCCAAAACCGTGGAGTAACACAATACTCCGGGAGAGAAAGCTTTCGAAGGGCCGGGGGTGTCCAAAATCGAACAATGTACTGGCCTGTTACCAAACTACTAATCTGCCCAAGCCACCAAACAAAGTCCATCCAAAGCTTTGTACCAAATGTGGGCTCCGACAGGCAAAACAGAAACAGAGAAGCGAGCCAACCAAATGTCACGCGAAACCAACTCGTACCTAGGAGCAATGAAACGTTCGGCCTGATTCCAAGCAAGTTCTCGGTCGGCCGAAGCTATCCGAGCATTACGATAAGCTCGGTTTCCTTGTACGCGCTGACTAGCGTTACCAGACCAGTAAAGCAGAATGTGTTTTCTGTATTCCTGCAAATCAGACTCCCTTTCCCACGACGGTGTCAACAAACCAATCCAATGAGTCAGGTACAAGACAGCTACCACACCACCGCGTACACGTACAATTTGGTGTCCTGAAATATTCTCAACATCCAGACGACTAGACTCCGCTAAAATATCATCAGCAGTCAAACTATACGGGGGAGACTTGTTACGCACAACTATGAGTACACCCCCCCCCTCCCTCTCCCGCTTGCCACCCCGCCCCCTCCTATAGCCGCCCCTCCCCTCCCGCTGTCCGGCCCTCGCCCTCCGCTGGCCGCCTCACGGCACTTCCGAGGAATCAGAGTCGAAAATAGTTCACCTGATAGCAATGGCGCGAAGGGCCGGTTGAGTTTGATGAGCAAAAGTTTAACACTTGCAAACGAAGGAGCCAGGGTGCAACATATGAAACATAACTCACATGAATCCAAAGACGGTGCGGAAGATTCCCTCGGTGCCAGGGTTTCCTCTCAAGTCCACCAGGAACTCCGCCACGCGACCCCAGCTGCTGTTTGCTGCGACACCAGTGCCGCGCCTGATGCACATGATGATGAGAAGACGGCGGCGCCTACTTCTGTCTCTCGCAGCATTGACCAGGAGAGAGATTGTGTCACGTTGTTCCTCTTCACGAGCCCAATCTAGTGCCGTCATACCACCATTGCCGATGATTGTTTCGTCTGCCCCGCCTCTCAGCAGAACATCCACTACCTTTGCATTTTCGGAGGAATCGAAACCATTGTGTACGGCGATGATCAGTAACGTATCTCCATTCTTGTCCTTCGCATTTGGGTCAGCACCGCACTCCAAGCATCCTTGTATCACACCCGTGTCCCTCGCGTCTCTGGCATCAATACATCCGCCCGAACAGTGACATTCTAGCAAACATCCGATGTCCTTGGGATCAGCCCCCGGCCGCAACAGGATCTCCATGGCTCCCCTGTCTTGCACCAGAGTGAGCGGCCTCCATCCGAGGCCGACATCAGCGTTAATAACGCCGGGTTTGAGCTCGGCAATGGTCCATACCGCCTCGTGGAATTCCTCCGCATCATCAAACCAGTCGCTGTGGCGAAGTACAAATCTCATCGCGAACGGCACATCGACGTTTGCATCCGTGAACGGCACAGCTTCGTCTTCGTTGTCGACATGTGCTTGCAGCAAGATCCGAATAAGGAACGCATTTATCCCTTCCTCGTGGTCTGTCCACACTGCGTGCATGAGAGGCGATTCTTGTAACGTATACTTGTTGTGATCGAGGTCGACCCGTGCACCTTTTAGGAGAAGCACCATTGTCAGCGTCTCAAGGCGATAAGATGCAGCAAGGGTCAACGGAGTCTCATAGCGTTCCACTTCGTGACAATCGTAGCCCGTTCTATTCTTAACGAAATGTTCGTTCGGATCCGCACCAGAGTAAACCAGCTTACAAGCTAGCTTTTCCTCCCCTCGGTTGATGGCTTCACGCAGACCCATAGCGCTTGTCGGGGCCACAGCCGTGTAGTGGTTCAGATGATGTTCAGATCTGCATTCGCTCACGCGCGCTGATTGGCCAATTTCGACAGCACCAGATCCTTCCATATTTACTTGCTAATTCGGATGGCAAACACGCAAGCAACACATTCCCGTTTTTCCGCCTCGTGGCACGCGATCACCCCCTCGGGCGCCTCTGTTATACAAAGGTGGGTGTTTCCATGCGTGTACTCTCAATGTCTTCCTTTCGCCGCCTTGGTATTGACGTCGTTGAAAGCATCCAATCGCCTTGGTATTGACCGTGCTACGAATACACTACAGCACGTTCGCCCATCTGTCTCGGGCTAAAGCAGAGCATGATCCGGTAAGCAGTTGAGCTATGCAGAAGGCTTGATCGTATTACATTGCAATACGCTTGACCGTGCTACACTGCAGCACGTTCTCCCCTCTTCATTGGTATTTTGGCGCTGGAATCGTGGCATGAAACACGTGAATGCAAACCCCCTAATCCGCGAGAGTGCCCCATGAATTTCTCTGCCGCTCGCATCTCGATAGGGCGCGGCGTCGGGGGTACGGGTAAACTCTTTCGCCCCTGGACTCGTGGAAACGCCCATCTTCGGCGGCATGCCCCTCGACACTCTGGTCGCCTTTGCTGGAGCAACGCAGCTCGTCCCGAGGCGCTGCGCGTCCGAGCAGGTGAGACGCGTACAGCTGGCGGTAATGCATTCCCCCGCATATACAGCAGCAACAGTACAGGCTAGCTAGATGTACAAATGACAGTTCAGTCTTGGGGTCCTCCTGTACTGTAGCTCATTTGTTTTTCATTTTTTTTATCTGCAAATGAAGTGTACTACTGTATAGTCATGGGCTGGGTGAAACCAGCCAAAAAAAGGCGGACACGGCGCCGCCGCGAAGAAAAAAAAGGTGTAGTGCGGCTTCGCTGGCGTCGGTCGCGAACATCTTAAACGTTCACTCTTGGATATTGCTTCGCCGCGCTAGGGGACGGAGAAGACGTCAGAATAATCCGCAACCTACCGTAGGGCAGAAGATACATCACCCCCTACACCGATTTTTCATACATTCACTCGTATGCACTAGAGAGAGTGGTGTTGCCGAAGTTTAGGCGCCGTTGGAACCGCGTCATAGAGAGGTTTACAAGAATGTACCGGTTAGGTTATCCACTATTCCTCTTCGTCGGGGAGTAGTCGAGGTTGAGGAATCGGTCCAGGGCGGATCATATGTCATGTCACCCCCGGTGAACAATGAACCACCTACGGTACAAACCTCTTATCGTGGGCGCTTGGTTTTTCTTCGCGTAGACACAGATTGCCAAGGTGGTGCTATTCTTGGCCTCGGAAGACGCTACCATGGTCACCGGCTCCACCTACACGATGGACGGCGGTTGGGCCATGAAAGCCTAGTGGTTTGCTGGGCAAGCATGGAAGCAGGGCGGCGAGGGAAATCGATCATTCGCCCGAAGCTACTCTTCCATGTTCATATCCAGCAAGCAAACTCGTCATAGTTGAGACCGAGATATAGAGAGCAGGGCGGCGGTCGCGTGGTTGTACTTGTTGGTGGGCTCGAATCCCTCGCAGTCAGGACGTGGTGATTTTTCCCGTAGATTGTCTCCTTTCGCACACGGTGAGCTGGGCCTACGCTGCTAACGTTTCATACAAGTTAATCCTAGTGTAGGCTCCGAGTCGACGGTTCGTACAAATCTACATCTAGGGCGGCCGGGAAAATGAAAAAGTGTTCCACTAACGGTATTGGTGTGGCAATCCCCGAGGATCTGGGAAGATCAGCAGAGCCTTTTGGGAAGGGGTTCTTGTCCCTGAAAAATCTATGGTAGTGCGTTGACGTACACAGATCGATGACGGCGGAAAACGGAGGTTGGCGGGGAGAAATCGGGTTTCTTCTGCTCCTCTACTGGGGAACTCACGCGTTTGTGAACCAATTCGTTCTCTGGCTTGGCACAACGTATAGGAGTGAACGTGCTGGGAGATTCGAGCCGTCGGATACTCACTTGTGGTTTGGATTGTTGGATGCCTCGTCGTTGGGTCGCGCATTGCTTCCGAGCATGGTTCTTTGGTACCGTGGTGGGGTTGAATATCAAAGGCGCGTTTTATCTGCGACCGTTGGTTGAAGATATACTTCGTGTTCCTGAAACTTTACGTTCGAGCGTCAGGAACTCGAGAATCTGTCAGAAAGCGAGCACGATGGTTGTACGTAGGAACGGAGACGCTATTGCCTGGTGACACTTCGAGTTTGATCGGATAGGGGTAAGAACAAAAGGGGGAGACTCGAATATTTGTCGAGATGTTGAGCAATTTGGAAAGTCTGGTTCAACGTTGATTGCAGAAGTGAACTTCAGCACATGTGTGTCAGAAATTGCGAGTTGGTGCGGACCTTATAATCGCAGACCAACAAGAAATTTCACTTAAATGGGTTTGGGCTGTGCACTACTTTGAGTGCCGAGGGTATGAACGCCCCAATGTCTGACCCTTCCAATCCATTCTGAAGTTGTAAACCTTAGTCTCCCCGGCCTAACCTTACTTTGGTCACCCCCTTATTCCGATTCCCCCACCGTGTCGCAAAAGTCGATCTGGACCTATGTCCCACGGCTCGCGACACCTCGATTCATAAATGTACGGGCATGCGCAACCATTCGTGATTTTTTCTCATAAGTCTTCAATGGTTCGCCGTCGTCTTGTCCTCGTCGCTATTTTTGGAAGAATCTCTGAACCTCAGCTTGGCACCTATCATCACATCGATGTTTCGCGATATCTTGAGTATGGCTTGATAAGGCATATCGCGCGCCCAACACCCTCGCCGAAGTTCACCCCCGTCCGTGCGCAGCAGCAGACACAAAAAGTAAGTGCGCGACCATGTGTTTCCTCGTCTTCACCACTTTGCCGTCTTGCTGTCGCTCTCCTTTTGATGTATGGAACCATATTGAAAAAACAATGAACTTCATCGAACTGCTTTCCCTTCCCACACAATGCTTGGACGACTTCGCTCCTCCACAAGCCATCTGCGACGACGGTATCTCATCCGCACGGGTATTCGCTCGATACGCTGTGAAATTTAATTATATGTTTCTCGATGATGAACGACCGAAATTGGTATGTCTTGAACGTTGTTGTGAGATGCAGTACACACACAGCCAAATATTCGTTGAGTTTGTCGTATGCATAGCCAAGCGAGGCGTTGGCGAGCTCAGAAATCCAGCGAGCACAGTGAGCTAAGGCGCAAAGGGGCGGAAGCTCGCTGTCGAGTCCTCCTCGGCTAGTAAGGGGGGCCCGCAGGGGCCCCGCCGGAGGAAACCAAATTGGAGCGATTTCGCTTCACTTCCCATCAAAATGTCCGGAAAATAGGCCTCCGATTCCGCGACGGTATAGTCTACAGCCAACTGCTTGAAAACGCATGCTGGTAATCTGCACAATGATCTCGGGAAACGCTTCTCGGTTCATCATCGAAGTATTGCTTTAGAGCTCCGCGGTATTGCACACAACAGAACAATTCAATCAGCAAGCTTGCCGCTGAATAGTCAAGCTCTCACAATACGAGATCTATGGATAGTAGCTCCCCTAAATGCACGCATTTCGTGGCCTCCTTCGCGGTCTACAGCTGCGCGTGCTGTTTGGTGTTGAGCATGGGGGGTTCCGTGTGCTTCGATTAATAGTATCGATATCGAAATATCGAAATATCGAAAAGTTCAAATGTTTTCGATACCCGATGTCGATACGATAAGTCCATTCTGTGCTCTTCTTACATAGCAGAAGACGTGGACACGACGCGTACATTACAAACCGAAATGTTCGTCCTTGTCTGCCCTCAATAGCAAATAGAGTACCCTCGATTTGCTTTTCCTGCTTAACATACATGTCCAGTGACGCGCAACCGACATGATAAAGACCAACACACGTCACAAATGATTGAAAGCATCGGACATAGACCTGCCGCTAAAAAGGGGTAGCGGAGGTAGCACGGACGTGTCGACACGACGCCTTCTTTGAAACCAACGGTGACACACACGCTCAATCACGCGCAATCGCCATGAAAAGACACTGACAGCATAGCATAGACGCGCAGCACACGTCGGCCGTTGTTGCAGACCTACGGCAAGCCAATTAGGGTTAGCGCAGGTACGCTACTATCTACAGCAGCAGCAGCACGCTTGATACAGCACACAGCAGGTCACGACCTCCTTTCTCAGCGAATTTTGTGCTGTACATGAAAGATGCCGCGTGTTGAACAACAAACCGGCGTGCGCATCCATGTTTCGTGGAGCACCACAGCTGTGTGGGAATATTGTGCCGCAAAGAAATTTGCCAGGTACCGACAACTTCTTCGAGTCAAAACGTCGCAACGAAATTCCTTTCAGCTCTGCTTCAACAAAAAAGCAAAACTTCCGGTCACGTGCGAAGTTCTTGAAAATTTCACCACACCCAGACCAACACACTAAGAAACACCAGCCATTCCTTGGCGAAAAGAGCTTGCACAGTCCCACGCCAACCAGCTGCTATTGCCCCGAACATCAGAACGAAGACGAACTCCACCCCCAGAATGAAAGCGAGGCCGGTATTACCCCGCACTAGCGCCACTGCGGCAGCCCTAACACTCCAAGATGGGTCCTTCTGCAGCTTTCCACCTCCTCCCTGCGAGTACATCGACTTTTCCGAGTACCTAAACACGCGGCAGGTGGAAGTTGACGGCAGAATGTTAGAGCGGGGCCAGTGGGAGCGCGAGATGTATAATGGCTGAGCGCCGTTTCACAAGATGAAAGAGTTGGCAGGAGGTTCTGATCCTCTCCTCGACAACAAACGGGGCGGCAAACCGACCGAACCTCAAGCCCTTTCTTGTGTGGTCGAACAACGAGGAAAATACATGGAAGTTAGATTGGAGAGGGACGATTCGCGCTTGTTGTGTACCTACAAACGTGTGTGGCTTCGCGACAAGTCAGAAAGCAGGGCAATGTCAACCAGGTACGTCCGGCCCACTTAACTCTAGTAGGAAACTCCGTGGAGAAAGTACAACGCTGCATTTCCCGCTCTTTTTTCACGGTTTCAGCGTTTCGTGATCGTTGGCTATGCAGAGACGCACATATATGTGTCCAATTCTAAGCGTTGTCGAGTCCTGTTGGCCCTCCACACTACGGGTCTCCCACCCTTCTACAGTTTTCCCGAATAACCATGGGACACGCATGGGTGACCCATGGGAACCCATGGGAACCCATGAGCCGCCCATGGACTCCCCGTTAGGCCCATGGGTCACCCATGGGTCACCGATGGGCATGCCCATGGGTAGCCCGTGAGCAGCCCGTGGGCGGCCCATGGCCAACCCATGGGAAGCCCATGGGCGGCCAATGGCAGCCCTTCACCCGAACCAGTGTACTCCTAAACAATAGACTATCTGCTTTGGAACGGGCCCTCTAGCGGCTAATAACCCTAACGCTAACCCTAACCCTAACCCCAAGCCCACACGATACGTGCTAGGTTGGCGCTGGTGGCTAAGTTCTAGGTTGATATGCCGGTGGCGAAGTGCTTGATTGAAGCGCCCACGGTGGGCGCTTCATGGGCCGCCCATGGCGGCCCATGGGTGTCCCATGGGCAGTTTAGCAACTGTCAGTAGCGTGGGAGATTGGCACACTACTGGGGGGGGCGAGGCACCTCGTTGATTTTATCAACAAGTTACAGATGTGGAAACCTCTAGGGCGGGGAGCAAAATCGCAGGAAAAAACAACCCACCAAAAAAAGGCAGCACAGAGGAAAATCAGTGCCCCTGCAAGCGGTGTGTTTTGATTTATTCTGAATCGGACCAGCTTGGAGCAAGAATGTTTTGTTCTTGCGGTGCACAAGAAGATATTTTTGGAGCTACATTGGGGAAAAATAGTTGTTTCTTCGGGTTTAGTGCGCCGCCCTCAGAAAGGGGGGTAGGATCACATACGCGTTGTGTCGTCACCGATTTAAAAACTGTAGTGCTCAGACAATGTTGGCATCATCGCTGCATGACCGTCTTCTCAGCAGGCAAGAAAAAAACAAGCAGACATGGCACTCCAACACAGCAGTTTTCGGGCGTCAGCACAATTCCAAATGACCTAAGGCGATGCCCAACCATGTCTGTACACACCTTGACACGGCCCCCAAGAGTGCGCGACGTGTCCCGGTATCCCTCCTCGTCATCGGTAACGTCAGCCTTACTGGTGCTTCTGCCCTTCTCTGACGACGCGGAGGGCGGTCGACGGAGTGGGAACCGGTCGGCCACACCCAGGAGATGGCATGAGCGGCCTCTACTTGCAACAGCAATCGGAAGGTGGCCTGTAGGTTGTGCGGCTCCTCTCCCGTATCCCCTTTGGCCTTTTTCTCAAGGAGGAGACACCCCATGGCGGTGAGGTGCGTGGTTGCCGCCATCGCCTGCCCTTTCTTGCCGGTGAGTCGATAGGCGGCAGTCGTGTCCGCGCCGGCATCCACGAGCAACCGAACAATCCTCGCAGAACAGTGGCCGCAGGTGATGTTTTCTAGCAAGGGTGTCAGGCCGAATCGATTGAGCTTGTTTACATAAGCGCTTCGACTCGCGGAGTGTTTCCCCTCGTGCTGCCGCAGCAGGAACTTCACGGATGCTTCGTATCCTTGTGCGGCGGCGGCGGCTAGGGCACTGCCCTGGTCGACCACTCCGGCGTGCGCCAGCATGGCCACGATACCCACGTGCCGCCCCGTCACTGCCAGGCAGAGCGCGTCGACACCGCGGCTTTCACCGCCGCAGCGCTCGATTCCCAGCCGCTGGAGCAACTCGCGTACCACCGCCGAGTGCCCGAAGTTCGCTGCCACGTCCAACGGGAGGAAACACACTCCGCCTGTTGATGGTAACACGTTGCCCAACAACGGGTCCGCATTCGCGTGAATCAGCCGGATCACCGCGCTGGTGTGCCCGAAACTAGCCGCGGTGCAGAGGGGCGTCGACCCGTTGGTCCTGCGGCTCTCGATCTCCGCGCCTGCCTCGATCAGCACTCTCATTACCTCCGAGTTCCCGCATGTCGCAGCGAGATGAAGCGGTGTGGCGCCGTTGACATCAGCCGCCTCGAGGTTGGCACCCGCCTTCACCAACATCTTGGTCACAGCCGAGTGCCCTACTATAGCCGACTTTTGAAGAGCGTCGCTACCGACGTCATCCATGATGGACATATTGGCCCCATGATTCAGCAGGATCCTGACAACTCGCGGGTGGCCGTTTGTGGTGGCCAGCATGAGCGGGGTGCAGCCCGCCGAGTCTCCTTGGTTGACATCAATCGGGTCTCGGCTCGACAGCAAGGCTAGTGCGCGCTCAGCGGAGCCGTCCATCGCGGCCAAATGAAGCTCATTCATAGGGCCTCGAGGCCAACCCTGTGTGGGAGGTGGTGGGGGCATCTTGGCTTGCTGCCGAGTGCAGTGGCCGGTGTGTTTGGAACATATCCACGGATGGATGTGGAACGTGGAAACGCTCGCTGGCGTCTGTTTGAGACGTGAGAGGGTAAGGTTCTGGAAGTCTCCGACCGGTTCCCAATCAGAACCTTTAATTCAGCCGCTGCTGTAGTCCCTCTCCATCTCGTGTGCGTTCGTCGTTGGTATCCCTCACAGCCATCCCTCACACAGGCTCGTGTGCTCTTTAGAAACGGTGGCATGGTCGCCATGAAGCCCCGGCAGGAGGGACAGCAGTACCGGGGCGTGTCAACGGTGGAAGCAAGAGGGGTATTGGTAGCAGTCGCCCGAAGGTGGGTTGAGACAAGGAGCTACAGGACGGCTGTGCGTTTCTCTCACTCTTTGCGCTGACCCATTGCTGTGCTGTACCTGGGCACCCACCGTATGCCCGCGTGCTATCTGTCAACTTTGCCGGACTTGAGGTTGTCCGAAATAGGTTTGCCAACGTATCACTTTTATGGGCACCGACGTAGTACTCCCGAAAAGTTTCGTGTGTGCAAAAGTATGGTACTGCTTTCGCAGCAAGTCGCTGGGTGCTGCTGCCATCAGCGCTGGGCGCAAGCACAGGGGGCGGGGGCCATCCGTGCGTACAAATCTACGTGCATAGAACTCGTATGGATGTGTCTGGTGAGTGTTTATTTCCCTCTTGGCTGCAAGGGACAAGATTTGTGAGCGTTATGTGCTTGGTCATAAACATAATTGTTGATTACAAAGCTTTAAATGCACGGGGGCAGATACATGTTTCGGTGCAGGCATACGGAATGCGCGACGCAACACCCCAAATACGAGCGTGCGACTGAGAATATGCTGCGGTTGTGACTGTTTCTCGTGCACATGGCCCACCGACTCTGGCTTGGGTTGTACCCGAGTTCCTCGCAAGGGACTAGAACATCACTACACCCATAGACTCGTCAGATACAGAACCACACTCGTGACGTGCCCGTCTCGCGATAGCATTTGTACCGCTGCTGCAGGCTGTACGTTCCAAGACTGAGTAGCACTAGTGCATAGCAGCAGCAATGTCCTTCTGCGCAAAGCAGATGAAAAACTTGATACATGATCCAATTTCGCCGCATTAGCCAATCGCCCTGTACCAAACTAATTGCTGTGCGGTGTGTCCAAGCTCGCACTAACCTTATGGTCCACGAACTCCTCGGCAATGGCACTGTACTAGCTGTGTGGGAGCACACCAGTCCTCTCACACGACAATGCGCCGGTAACTTGAGGCTGAAACTTCAAGAAGTAAGGAGCAAATATTCCGGAGTACACCACTAACTCCTACACTGAAGGTAATGACCAAATTTCCTCCTCAAACGAGTTTCAACGGTAGCTGGGCGAAGAGAATTTGTACCATGCCCCTACCAGTACCTGAGTTGCCGGGCATCCGCGGATCTCCACTCCAGGGGATAATGCCTCAACATGGAAACCCCGGGGTTGTCAAGTTACTCGATCTCGCGGAAAGGCCTCACAATAGACAACGGTGGCGTCATCCAGAAATCCTATCATTTGCGGCGTCTTAATTCAACGATGGATTTTTGAGAGAGTCGGCCGAGGGGCTATGATTCAGCGCTGATACAGAACACGCTGGCACTTATGTAATAGCCCAGTAGTGAAGAAAATGAGCCTAAAAATAAACATATGATGAACTTGAGCACATTGTGTGAGCTCGGGTAAGAACCCCTAGAAACTACTAAGAACCCACCCCAGCCTCGGCCGAAACTAGAGGTTCTCAAGTGCGGGCGCGTTCTGTGCACGATATTTAGCCAATAGGCTCTGCCTTTGTGTGATGTGCGGATACCCAGCGCCAGCGTTGTGTCCTTCGCGGTGTGCCTGCACACTTACCGTAAGAGTCGGAGAGATGGCACCCCCGTGTTAGCGTTTTCGTTTAGCCTATTTCTCCACAAGCAGGAGGATGCGAACACCAACCGATACCTCTCAGGAAAGTCCTCAACGAGATGTTTCCAAAACTACCCTTTTCGCCACTGGTACCCCCCTGGTTGTTGTGAAATACGCTACAAAAAAACGCTAACACGGGGGTGCCATCTCTCCGACTCTTACGGTAGTCCTTCACCCACCCACACTTTGTCGGCGGGACATCCCTTCGACGCGCTCAGGTGTCTCCAGTCCACGGAGATCGCCGGAGCCGCGGCGCCCCTCCGAGTTATGGCGAGACAGGAACTGCAACAGAACCTTGTCTCCGTCATCGCGGTTCTGGTGCTGCTGGTTGGATACTCGCTGAACATCGACAAGAGTGTGAGCTTCTATCCTAGGTTGGATAGGTTTGTATCGTTCGTGAGCTAAACTGGGGTTCTGCCAATGCGGTACCTGTTCGTCTGCTCAGATATCACCCCACCACCAACAATAGTGTGTTGGATACGTCTTATACCATATGATATTGACGTGTTTTCTTTTGTACTCTCCTTTTTATTATCGGAGGGTTAGCGTAGGTAGGAAGCTTCATCTGCAAACACGTCCGTCGAATCCACCACACATCGAACTTTGCTTTTCGTGTTCGCACCCCTCGTACTTCGATCCCCGGGTATCAAGAGTGCACTCTACCTATAACAGTTGGGTCCAAGACAATCCTAGCCACTCTTCGAGTATGATCTAAGTTGTCCGACGAACAGGGCTACTCCATGAAAGTGTTTGGTTTGCCTTTACGTTGACATGTCCATCCCACCACGTGATAAAGCTTATTGTTCTCGTTGCGATGGCGCGCTCAGGTGGCGACTTTAGCGCTAGCCTTGTTGGTGCTTTGTTCGCTGCTGGCGGGCGTCTTGATCAAGGTCATTTCTCGGAGGTGAGCGTTGGTGGATGCTCACCCGGGCAAGAGTCAACCCCAGGTGTCTTTTTCCGCCTCACGAGCAAACCTTTCCATCGTGGACAGTTAGCCTTTCTGATACAAGTTTATTTTGCCGATTGTTTCTTCCTCCCGTTCGGGAGGGCGTCCAGACCAAACCAATAACTTGGCCAGCTCTCAAGCCCGTGACAATGGGGTTGCCAACATTGCAGTTGGAAAAAACATCTACAAGGTTTTCGTTGTATAGGAGCTGAGTGTTACCCACGGGAAAGATATCGAGTGTCATGCGTAGGGCATCTGGCGACCGAAGAACCTGGCTTGAGAACCAGCTCAGGAAATACGGTTTGACTCACCCCTTGGCGCCCAACCATCATCGTCTCTTTGTCCCTGTTCACCTGCCACTAGTACACAGGGAGTTAACGAGCGAAGCGTACGCCCGTTATATCTGTCTCTCGTTGTTGATCCTTCTTCTTTGTGCGTGAAGGTGCGAAGCGTTCGAGTTGCAGGACCGGGTCTCGGAGGCTTGCGAGGCGTTCATCGAGAACTCGCCACCCGATGAGGGCGAAGATAGCGCCAAACCTGAAGGTGATCTAACTCTTGGCATCCGCCACCATACTTGTACGTGGACACATCCATCGTCTTCCCGCTACAGTGGTGGTTCCGATATATCGTGGTAAAATTTCCCTAGCACAACAACCTAGCCTACTTACTTTATTGCCATTTGGGGACCTTTCCCCAATAGCCTAGGTCCAGATATTACGCGGTGATTCTTGTCTGTCACTACACCGCGATATATCGGGACCACATGCAGCATTGAGTGTTTCTTCGCTGGCGCGGCTCCTCGAAGCCTAAATCCTCCCTCTCTCCCACTTGCGGCTGGCGTACCTGCGTGTGATTGGTGGTTGGGAGCACACAGAAGTTGGGGCGGTTGTGCTATCTAGAAAAGCACTGAGGACGCCGGGAGGCTGGGGGGTGGTCGATCACCCGCCTTGAGCTCGTGAGCACGCCTTGATTAACAGCAGGTCTCTTTCTCAGCAGCGTAAACGTTTAGTATGAAACTTGGATGTTTCGCAATAGACTCGCTTTCCCTTCGCCTACCTTAACGGGGTTCGCCAGGACATGCACTCGTACCCCATTGGATTATGCGTGTTGATGCCTGAAGCACTCCCCCCTGGCTTTTGTTGAGAATTTGTGCTGCCCACCATGCAAATGCGAGCGAGAAGCGCCGCCACAATAACAACAACAACTACAACAACAACAGCGACAGTCAGCCCAATCATACCAACGACAACACTGATAATAGCAGCAATAACCCATTGCGCGTAAAGCAGGAACCGCGACAGACCCACCCATGCGCGAGTCGTCTGGGCCGAGCGCCGGCCTGCAGCAAGGGAGCGCGTTGGCATCGGTTGTGTCAGTGTTCCGGAACGAACTGTGGCAACGCGTCCCAAAGCTGCTGCTTGTGGAGGTGAGAGAGGAACCGAGAATATTCCACTATCAGATAGACCCGTCAGCCCTCCTCGGTTGGCCCCAGCCCTGCCTGCTGCACGCTTGCTATTTTTCTTGGAGGCACAGGGAGAAGGGGGGAGAAACACAATCCTGTCTTGGCCTTCTCCTGTGTATTCTCGTCTGGTGCGCCAACCAACCACCGAATTGGTCATTTGGCACGCAGCATAGATGGGACGACACGCAAACTTGACGACCCGGCCGCGGTTATTGGTGCCTGGAACGGTGCGTGTTTTTTGGGAAATCTGTTTTTTGGGTCTGAGAGAAACGAGTCTCATGGGGGCTCGTGTTCTGTTTCCTCGCCGCAATTGAAAGTTGAGGCGGAATATGGAACGGTGTAGTGGCTACGGCTTCGTGTCGGGACTGGTACATTATTGGAAACAGTTAACTAGGTCAGTCTTTCTATCAAATGGCACGCCAACCGCTACCTGAGTTATGTTTTCAATAACTTAACCACCCGACTTTGCGATTGTCGGGATCTTTTCAGCATTTTCGGCGAGAAACTCCCTCTTTGCCAGCGTGGGTTGCCCTCAGACAACTTGCCTGAGATGTGGACTAAGGCAACCGATCACAAATCAACCACGCTTGGGCAAGTCGGATGTGCTACCGCCTGTGTCTCTTCGTCAGGCGTCGGTCTTGACTGGTAGTTCCTCAAGCACCTAAGCTAATCCTCCGGTCCATCTCGACATAATTCGATGCTCACCCCCTCCTTTATAGGCTTCGCAGTTTTGGTGACCTGACCCTTTTCTATCTCGCACTCCTACATTTGTTCGTAAGTGTATCCATTCCGTTGTAGCCTTATTGAATGCTCTCAATGGCAGCGCTTACGAACAGATGTTGTTTGGGGGAAACGCTCTAGAGTTCCGGCTTGTTCTTGAAACCACGCTTCTGAGGGGTTCTAGCGTACGCTTTTTGGCATCCGCGAGGTACCGTTCAGATTGGTGACAGTCCGGCTGGACGAAGTTTTGCCGCATCCCATGCATGTTTGCCCACGGGGAGGTTGAACAATAATGTTCTATATTTTCGTAATATATTTCTTATCCAGGGGGACATTGTCGCTCTTATGGGAGGAGACAAGGCACCGTGTTTGGCCGAAGTGCTGCGCTTTGAAGCGGAGGATGATACCATCCCGCCAGGCAAGATTGGAATTGCCTCTTACATTTGATTGATTTCATTCGGTTATTTTATTTCCTTGTTACAAGTGTGGATCTGTGAGTTGTAGCTTATTTAGGCTTCGTCCATGGGTTCATCCGGTGACTCCAAGATTTCACCATCCCGGCAACCCTGCAGTCTTTTTCGTTTCGATGAAAAAGTAATTGTTTCCATGGTTAATTCTTCTGTCCCTGCAGGCACATTCGTTTGATTTGACCACTCCGTTCTTGTCAATTTCCGATTATCCTACGTCGTTGGTGGTGCTTCTTCCTGCCGCAGCAATTGCCCGCCGCTGTTGTGATTTTGTTTTCCCCCCACCATTGTATGGGGGAGAAAGTCATGCAGTGATATTCTGTTTGAACCAGCTACCTATGTGTACTGCGATCATTCCCGTTGTGTGCACTTATCTTTCTGTGATACTGCAAGTCCAGAAGTCCCGGGCAACCCCTGTCGTGCATGTGGCGGTATATGAGACGTGTTATTCGATGTTTTCCTACTTGCGAAAGACCGTTTAGCATTATGTGGCCACGAGCAGTTCGTTGTTCTCACGAACCGAGACCAATGTGAGAACAACACTATCGGCGGCGACGACGACATTGACAACGACCAAGACCACAACAATTTCAACAGCAACCATAGCAACACCATTGGCGACAACAACAGCTACAATGAACTGACGAAACTTACAGGAGTATCGGTGGACGGTGCGAGCGCTACAGATTGCTCGGCAGCCACAGGCAAGCCGGGTCGGCGTCCTTGGGTGTTCCACGGGACAGGAGTCAAGGTAACCCGGGTTTGCTGGCATGCTATCCATGCCATATTGTTGTTGTTGTTACTGTTGCTGCTGCTGCTGCTGCTGCTGTTGCTATTGTTCATGGTGGTGGTGTTGGGTGTCGGTGCTGCAGCAATTACAGCTGCAAGTGCTGGTGTTTTTGCCGGGCATTTTAGTGCCTCATTTTGATTGCCCAAGCTGCTGCCACAAGATTCAGAGTCAGTACGTGGTGTGGATTGGGAAAGCAACATCGTACAGACGATAACTGCTCTACTGCTGTTTCCGATACGGACGGGAAACGAGGATGGTTGCCTTTCGGCGGTTTCCATCACCATCCAATAAAGCATTGCGGCAACAAGTGTGAGCCCTGAGTGAATTGCATCGTGTACGATGCGGTTCTTTAGGAAGAGGTCAATTGGCCAAAAAAGATTTTTGTTGTCGACCACCGCCCTGCATGGCATACGGGAGGCATATCTATCCGGAACCGCATACGGTGCACGTCCGCCGTTATACTTTTTACATGCTTCTCCGAAGGAAATCACGAAATATCAAGACCTGTTGGTTCGCGTTCACAAGAAGAAAATCCAGCATGCCCGCCATCCTCTCTGCCAGGTTGTCAGAGGACAGGATATCCACGTGCGACCTGTAGCTCGCGAGCACTTCAGCCGGAAGACCATGGTGCCGGCCACCTCGCCGGCCCTGCTCCTGCTGTGCGGCGACATGCGGTGCTACCGCCTGCTAGAAACCCCGCTCGATGCTCACCTCAAGGTCAGTCATCAGTGTGTCGTCAATCTAGACTTCTTCGTAGTCCTTATTGCCCGCTCTAGTGCCTTACCACCCAGCCGACCTCGCAAGCCCGGTCGATGGGTGTTTTGTGTCGTTGTGCGGCCATAGTCTGGGTGCCATCCCCCGCTGAGGTCCTTGTGGGCGTCGATCTCTAGTCCCGGGCACCTTTGTTGTGTCAGGCCTTGTCTGTTTGTGACGAGAATGGTAACCATCGTGCCCGATTTCTATCGAAATCGGTGAGTTGTTGCTGTTACTGCTGTTGTTGTTGCTGTTGCTGTTGCTGCTGCTGCTGCTGTCGTGTCGTGTTGTTGGCGCGTGTTGTTGTCTGTATGTTCAAACGTCGTTCGACACCAGAAACCTCTTGGCCCAAGCGAATCCCAAAATACGGAGTACATATTTGAAATTGAACATTTGGCAGGATGTGCTTCAGAGAGAGTTTTGTTTGCTGAAAAAGCAGCAGCACGCTCTTTATACCGTTTGCGCAAGAATAGGACCTTGCTAATTCTATGTTGTACCGGTCAATTTAAAGAAATTTTGAGGTCTTTCTGCATCGTTCGCAGAGTGAAATTCACATTTTGCGGACGCATACACGCACATTGGCAAGAGGGATCGAATGCGGTACACATGTATTCACCTGGCGACGAGCATATCAACCGCCGCAGAGACCAGCACAGCGTAGAGAAGGTGTGATACATATAGATGTGCGGCAGGAGCACCACTTGCCCACCGTCACACTCTCAATCATCTCAAGCCTGCAGAACTTCCACGTCGGAAGTGAGCGGGGTACATTACGACCAGGCACCAGAAAACAGTTGAGATGAACTTGACTTTGTAGCAAGAGAGACACAGCAACAACAGCTGGCCGACAGCCGCGGGTCAAGCGACCTGAGCCAATCCTGGGCAACCATCTTGAAGTTTCTCGCGATCTGTGCCCGTGTTGCAAGGGCGTGAGCGATGCGACCGTCGGATGGTTTGTGAAAGTGACCTGTACGCATGTTGTGTCGTGTGTGTATTATTGCGCAGCAAGCTGCTGGCATTCTGTCTCTGGACGGAGCAGTGGTACAGCAGGTAGATGTTGGAACTCGCAGCAGCAACAGCCCGCTAGAGGCAGATTTTTGCCGCATGACCGTGCCCACGGCGCAGGTCGTGTTGGCTCGGCCCCTCCTGTGTTTGATACCTGGCTTCGGATCTGTGGAGCTCCAACATGGTCGGAGTGTCCGTTCGAGGTGTTCAGTGTTGGTCCTGGCAATTTTTGCTAGCACATTTCGCTTGCTAGTTTTCATGTATGGCCGAACTTGGCGATATTGTTTGGCAAAGTTTGTGTCGGAGGAACTTTTTATACCCCGACCTGGTCGCTATCGGCCATGTGTCGTTCTGCGCAAAAAGTCCTTTGTTTCAACATACTACCAACGAACAAGTTCATCGAGTGAGCTATTTGCGCTAGTTCCTCGTCAATTCATGCTGCGTACAGGACACATGCATCATGCGTCGAATCGGGTTGCTTCTGAAGTATTTCCCACCGCGTCTCCTTCACCCCAGTAAACCCGATAGTTTTGGTCGTGCTTCTGTGAGGCTCGGAACGGTTGCACCTTCTCGAAAGAGATACCACGTGGTCAGTGGAAACATAACTTCCATAAGTAAAAAAGGACTACGCCAACCCCCGCCCTTTGATCGGTCTCAGCTGTCGCTCTCTCCGCCGCCGGCGGTGGCGACGGCTGCGATTCGCCGGACTTCCCTGCTACGCGAGCGCGTCAGGGCGGCCGGCCGGAGGTGCTACAGCGCGGTGCTGGTCATGTCTTTGCTAGCGGCAGCGATCGGGGGCCTTCGATTGTTGCTGGCCGACGGTTCGAGGGGCGACTGGGCGCTCTACCTGTTCGTGGTTCCAGGCCAGGTATGTGTGATTGGCCGTTGGCATTCACCAACAAGCTGTCCGAACTCTACCCAGCGCGTTCACGGCATCGGTACGGTTCTCCGCTCGCGGAGAAGCCCTCTGCAGTATTCTCTTCGTCGTTATGCGACACCACGCGTCAAGCATGGTGGGGAAGTCATTCGATAGTTGTTTGGCGCAGGTGTATACACACTAGTGCACAACTGCCACATGCAGTGGCTGCTGTCATGTGTTAACGATGTTTCTCAGATCAGAGAGAAGGAGAGCATGAAAGACGGAAACATTGCGGAGCTCAAGGAGTTGGTGCAACCCGACGTGGATCCAAACATGCCTAGATAGCCCCGGTGACTGGGTGAATACAATAGGTGGTGTCAAGGACACCAATATTGATTTCGCGATGAAATGTGTATTCGTCGCCGCCGGCAGGTCCACCCACGTGTGCTGTGCACGGCATGAACCGTGTCTATAATATATGTCGCTTGCAGCATCTATTGAGTCAACAAGCCCGGGGTGTGTCCACGCAACGCAGCAGTCTGCGAAGGGTGTGCAGACGGGATGGGCGTTTTCATCCTGGTTATTTTGGCCCCGGCGGGCGGGCGAGTTCCTGCCCTCATTGTCCGTGCAGCATTGGCTGTACGCAGCTACATCAGGCCATTGTAATTCTGGTGTTTTCGACCATGCACTGATTGGCTGTGCAGTGGGGGTGACTCTCATTCTCCCCCTTAGCATCCTGTGTTAACGTTGGCAGTCTGTCTTCGGAGAAGTTACCGCACAATGGGGGTCCCACAGTTGTGCCGATGTACGTCAGCCAAGCTGATCGCCGAAAAAGCAAGAACCAGCATTGCTGCTTAGAATATGGGAATTTTTCATCTTGCTACGCCGTTTGACCGAAACAAGATAGCGGCCAATTTTCGGTCAGCGTTACACGTCTGTGCCCTCCCTATCCTATCCCTACTCCAGGTGTCTCTATCCCCAACCCTATCCTAATCACCGATTGTCTCTGACCCTGACTCTTTCCCTTTCGCGCTCGGTTGGACTCCACGTTCTACGGATCCGGACCCTGCGTGTCAGGTCGCCGTGTGCCTCCTCCCCATGTCTCTGCCAATCTACGTCGCCGCCGGGGAAGCGGTGGCGACGGCCCGCGTTCTGGCCTTCCTTGAGCTAACGCTAAGGCGTAACAGGTTTGACCGCTCACGGGGGGTATATGTTATGATCGTCAATCCGAGCGAAGGAATCCTAACCATGTCGGGGGTTCTATCGGAGTGCGGACTTAAAAAGGTACACACTTGGTTGGTGGTGATGCTGTGAGCGCACGTGGCCTGTTGTATTCTGAGCCCATCGGGGTGTTGGTGGTCACTGCCGCGTTGTTACTGGTGTGTGTTCTCTTCATTTTGATTAGTCATGAAGATCGTTGGCTGAGGTCAACACCTAGGAAGCTATGTAGTACATCCCATCCGTGAAACGGCCTGTGGTGGCTACAGTAGCTCTGTGACGTGAGGCGTTTTCACTGCCTGCCGTGGTGAGTGAATTCCGATGAAGATGCACGTTCCACAACGAGCAATCTCTCGCTTGGATTGTTGACATCGACTCAGCGCGCTCTTATCTTGACGAAACACCGGGGATGACTCTGTGACGATACTATGCCGCGGCCAGACGGAGCGGCAGTGCAGAACCGTTTTCCCTTTCAAGGAACGTACATCTCACTCAACATTTCGTATCGCCATATATGAGCTGTCTTCCGCCGCCCCCAACCCCCCCCGGGCTCACCGTGGTTTTACTGGAAATCATCAGGGAGGCGAAAGGGAGCGCCGCCGCAGGTGCCGCTGCTGCAGGTGCGACGAAATCTCAATCATCAGGAGAGCCGGACCCGGACGAGATCGTGGACGAGTTCGACCAGATGGACGCCGAGGAACGCGAAGAGGTGTTCTCCGGAACGTCACACACCGTGTCGTGGCGGAAGGCTCGGGCTTACCTTTGTGCCGTCCTAACCGCGAGGTGATGTACAGTCGAAAGCGACATTATGTGTTTTTTTGCTTTACCCCGTGCCGTTTCCATGTCGGTGGTTTTGAAGAGACCGGGTGCGTTTCCATGGCTCTCCACAGGCAAGCCTCGAAATGAGTCTGGAGGTAGTGATTGAAGGCTCAGAAGCTCCCACCAACCCTTCGTGCAAAAGTTTGGAATACAATACGGTATGTTGCATGTTTCACTGTCTCGGGCCCAGATGCCATGGGGGTATTCGAATAGCGCGGTGATACATGCTTTTCCGTGCAACGCCAGAGAGCTATTAGAGCCTTGACGTAGTCGTGCCTCGCTCGTAGCAAGATGTTCAGCTGTGGGAGACCATTTCTAGTAGCCGAAGCTTTCGGAGAGGGAGGCGCGGATCGGCTGCTTTGCATCAACGGACGCCGGCCTGTCTATCTCAAGGCCAGAAGTGTCTGTCCTCGGAGCTTGCCCTCTGCTACACGGAACTACGCGCGCGCGCTTATTTCTACCCCCCCCGTTTTCAGGTGGCGATGCGGGACCAAGAGTCGAATGTGCCGCCACCGTCGTTCACAGGATGCGGTGACGCCGGCATCGGTATCGCCGGCAGCGGCACCCGCCACGAACGCTGTGCGCCCAGCGGATTCCTCCGGCCCGGAGCCCAGCGACATAGAAGCCGGGCGCGCCGCAGCGGAAGCGGCTCGAAGGTCAGCCGAGCCCAGTCCCGGAGAGCCTGCTGCGAGAAGCAGCGACCACGGCGGGGTGCCCTCGATCGATGTCATGGCTGGAAGCAGGGAGCAGGGTTTCATTCCGTTCGCCTCATGGCGGCGGCGGCGGCGGTCTAGTGGTGCGGGGTCGGGATGGAATAGTAGTGGTTCGATGGGCTGGAGTGTGGGGCGGTGGCGCAACCTGTGTATTGGCGGCGGGGCGGCGGCTGTCGGGGAACAACAGGATGACGTCGATGCCGGTGGGGGCGGTGAGTGAAAGTTATTCCGTCCTGTTCGTTCGTATTTCTCCGGGTGGCTGAGGTACTAGATGAATGGTCGATGACTAATTTCCTAGAGTTTCCACCTCGCCGACCTAGCCCCCAAACTAAGCCACTGGCGACGAACGGCAGCGGAAACCTACCTTTCGTGTGCTGTGGTGGTTGTCTTTTGCATTGCGGAACGTTCTCGCCTCTGTTCGATACCCCGCACGAACCGATCCCTAGACGTGGCGGCGCCACTGCGCGCTTGTAGGGTACGCAAGGAAACACTTGAAGGGAATGAGGGACACGGTTCCTAGGAGAATGTGCTCAGGAACGGCGAACATCCGTCAACCGTGCTTGATTCTCGGCAATTTTGTACATTGTTAACCTTGGGCCTAGTTTCGTCTCACGAACGTCGCCGATGCTGTACTTGCACTACTCTCCTCAGAGGGACAACAACGCCAGATGCTACGGCAGCAGCGGCGACAGCGGCGCCGAAAGCAGTGGTGTCAAGATAGCTTCTTGCCCGTGCCGATGTTGGGGTGCGGTCTGGTCGAGCGCCTCGGTGCTGTCACCACGCTATGCATGCTGGACGAGGACACGGTGTGCGAGCCAACCTCGGCCATCAAGGAGGTTTTCCTGGTAGACTCCAAGGTGTGTACGTTGGCAGTATTGTTGCTGTTGGTGGTGGTGGTGTTAATGTTGTTGTTTTCCGGGATCTGCTGCTGTAGCTGACGCTGTTGTGCGGCAGTCTGTGAGGTTTTACTTTGCCGCTGCGGTTGTCAACTCCCGCTGCGAGAGCCTGTTCTGACCTCTAGGCGCACCTCCCACGCACGAACAAACGACTCTGTTCCGTCGCCACGAACACTATCGCACTACGTTTTGCGCTGATTCCTGGAGAGACACGCGCGGGCAGGACAATGACACCGGTGGCTGTAGCAGAACCACCGTAAGAGGCGGAGAGATGGCACCTCCCCTTCGACCGACTTGCAAAACTCAACTGTCTCACAACCAAGGGGCTGCCGAGAAATCCCGATACGTCGACGGAAAGCCGTCAACGAGATGTTGCCAAACCCAACATTTTTGGTACTGGCACAAGCTTGGCTGTGGAGCAATCGAGCTTGGAAGATCGGTCCAGGGTGTGCTATATTGTATCACCTACGGTATCCTCGTCCTTGGCGTGCCTTTCTGCTCACATTTCGTAGAGAACATGTACGGGCTTTCGAAATAATTTATACTTAGCAATGTTTCAAACCGGTTTGGCATTGGTTTGGACTTTTGTCAAGCAGGTCAACGACGCCGGTGTCAGCACCGGGACCGTCCTCGACATGCACACCCAGCAGGGCAAGAAAGGGGTTCGCTTCGAAGACCCGCACTGGTGGACACACCTCCCCGCCCTCAAGCCTATCGGCCTTACCTGCTTGCTTGCCGAGAAGAATCCGGAGGTAGGAGTTAAGATTCCTCTCACAAAGTTTTGAACTAAGGTTGCTCTTAAAACTCCCTGCCCCCCGGTTTTGTACAACGGCATGCTTAGATTTTCTGCTTCTGGTTTTTGTGAGATTTTTTGTAAAACCGCCTTTTGCAGAGCCGTTTCGGCTTTCAATGGGCCTCTGGTGTCACTCCTGTGCTTCTTCAGGGAGATCAGATTTTGCACGCTGAAGATTAGGAGGGGGGTATACTGGACAGATATCGGGACATTTGTTTCATTACGCATATACCGACAGCGGTAGCGACAATGGTAACGAAAAGGATAGCGGCGAAAATGACAACAGGACCAGCAGCAAACACCAACATCTAGCGTCATCGTTTATGGTAGCAAGACAGCACAACAGCATCCGTGTTAATCCTGCAACGCATGTGAGAGAATGCCATCGAAAGTGAAGCATGTAACAACCAACGTGAGTCGTCTGTCTCTACTCGAGAGCCAAAACCTTGTTGCGTAGGGTTTGTCTCTGTTCCGTCCTCGCTCATCTGCGCGTTCATTAGATTCCGTTAAACGTTTTTTAGGTATGATGTTGTTGGTGTTGTTGTTTGGCGTGTCGTTGTTTCTCGGGGGAGCCTCAACCAAGCAAGACCGTGTCGTCCCAACATAGAGGTTTGCAAAATCGAATTTGTTCAATAAGCCTCGGGTTGTATTGTCTACGCCTCTGCCTACGCCTTTAATAACCTGCCCTTTCCTTCTGCATCGATTTCTGGTACAGCAACCTCGGCAGCAAACCAAGAGGAGATCCGTTCTCAGCAGCCCTGTACTCGCCGAAGGCCGTTCTCTTCAGTCCACCCAAGCGTGAGATATCCCACATACGTATTTTCATGCACATACGTCTGTTTTTTTTTTGTCGGATTTGTGGGAGGTAAGGTATCCTTTCCAACGTTGAGACGGCCATGTATCCGTTTGGGTCTGCAGCACCAGCATTCTCTCTTGCAGTGTAGGTGAGCGCCGATCGGTGTTTCCTGCGGTGCTTGAGAGCCACCGGCTGGGGAAGGAAGCCTTGAACTATTCCTATCGAGCAAGGGGATAGATGTAGACATATTGTACAATCGTTGCCGGGTAATTAAATCCCACAGCTGGCGAGAATGTCAGGGGCCACATGGGGGAGGACCGTTTGCCTTGGAAATGAGCGAAATATGATCGCTTCGACATCTTGTTCTTTAGAAGCTCTTCGAACCGTCCCCGTTTCTTTTCTCTGGACCAGTACATTTTTTCTTTGAACAGAGCGAAAGCACAAACACACACTTATCTTAACCCCCCACATCGCGCCCAACATTCTACTCTATTTCGGGGTATCATTGGGCTGTGACGCAGCTCGCAGACCCAGAACTCCCCCTGTCCGGCGTTGTTGGACCACGTGCGGGACGACCAGCCGATGGAACACCTCGCGGATCTGTCCGAGGCGATCGGTTTCTGCGCTGCGGACAGGTGCGGCAGGGAGAACCCAAGCTCATATGTGTCTCAATAAGTAAGTATGCGTGTGGGCATTCGGTGTGGGAATGAGAGAAACCCCGGCTGATTGTACACCAAAGTGATTATGTATGTGGACAGCGTGGTGGCTGTGTGTGGAGAAATCGCGGCTGATTGTGCACCAAGGTGAGGATGCATGCGGGCAGTTTGTGGTGGCTCTGCGTGGAAACGACTAACGAGGAGCGAGTCCCTTCACCCCTGTCGAAAAGGGAACCACAAGGGATGCGGGTGACGGGCATCGAGTAGGCCATAGCTTGTCCCGGTTTCTAGCCCGAAGTCCCAGACAACGACTCCGAATCTAGACGATCTCGCGGGTCGGTCCGTATGCCCGCCGGACGATGTCCCGCCACTTCGGCGGCGGCTGGGGTGTCACCGGTGAGGCGGTGGTTTGGAAGAGAAGGTGGCACACGCCTGTCACCAACTTAAGGCACTCACAAAGTTGGCGGGTTTGCGCTTGGCGGGGTCCTTCCGCCTCGGTCTCCACTCTGTTCTTGTCCCGGAATCGGGCATCAAAGCCATCTGCGATTCTTACATCACGTGCGCATGCAGCAGTTTGCCCACGTGTTGGTGACGTTTCAGTGGTGCGGGTGTAGATAAATGTTTGATGTAAAAGCGTCTATTTCAAGCAGTCAATGTGTGTGTCTCACGAACGCTTTAGGCCCCCCGCACACGGTTCGGTAAATCCTTGGGATGTTCTCCACCGTCCTCCATCTGGGGCGTAGTGTTCGACGTTGTGAAAACTCTGAGTTTTTCCATGGACTCCTCCAACACACCCTTGCTTTCTATTTCTAAACTCTACCCCATTTTTAGTTTTTGCCGTTTTGCGGTTTGTTCGATTCGAAGGGGGATGTTTCGCGAGAGGCGGCGCATCCACGTCATCAACCCCAAGCTGGCGGCAAGCAGGGCGACGGAAGACACGCACGCGCAAGGCGAGACAATGAGAAGAACATGAGAAGGAGGCAATTCTCTTTTTTGTCTCCCTTCGTGACAAGCGCCCTTCCCACTGAGTAAAGTACAACTGCTAACGTAAAATGTGAACAGTAAATAACGGTTCCACTGGGATTCACGATCTCATTATTTGGTCGAGCAAATGAAGGCGACGCACCGATGCTGAAACATGTTGTAGCCAGTTTCATTCACTGCCAAGGGCAAACTGGTGTCTGTTCGTTCCCCTCGTCTTTTAAGCTGGCAGCGTCATGGGCATCAGGGTCGGGATAGATTAGACAACACGGCCCTTCGATCGAACGACGTTCTTCGAAGTATTCATGTTTTCTGCCTTGATGATCGCTGTCCACTGTGCCTTGCGCGTTGTACCAGGGCAAGACGAATCCCGAAGACGGGGCACGATTCAGCCGCACCTGACGAGCGTCATGGCTCAAGAAAGACGGTCGGGCGCTCTGCAACTACTCAGTCAAGGTGATGCCGCGCGTGTGGTGATTTTTCACAACTGGGCAACTATAGAATGAATGTGCCTCATGAATATAAGAGTTTGGAACGGCGGTGGTGTGATGACATACACCGCAAAAATTCCATCTGGAAGTTGTCCGCGCACAGCTGTTTGCCCGGATTTCCTCGAGTCGTTGTCTGGGAATTAAACAATGGACGTTTGTCGTGTAGCGCAGGCGGCCATTGTATTCCAAACCTCGTCCAACAACCTTTCTGAATGGCTCATGAGTTGCGTGTGTCGTTGTCTTGTCGTTCAAAACACCGTCGTCGGTTCATGTCCGCCGGTCTCCGGAGGATCGCTTTCGTTTCCGGAATGTGGCTTAGTTTAGCCAACACGCGCATGTCTGTTAAAGGTAGCCCTTCTGGCATGCTCTTGTCCTGATCTCCCGACGGTGTGTTGAGTCATGGCTCCAGAGGTGACCGGTCCGTTACTCATGTTTTGTACAATACAGCACATCAGAATATCTCGGAATCGGGGCAACCCACATTCTCATCAATTCAACACGTCGCTTGACGCATTCTAAACCTGCACCACATGGCAGGGAACCCATCCATTGTGCTGGGCATGTGTCGAGACTACTGGGATGGGAGCGCCATTTCGAACCTGCCGGCCACCCTCCGCAAGACCATCCTCGGCATGCACCAGCAGTGGAGCTTGGTAAGCGATGCGGTGCATCACTAGTTCAGCAGTGGTCCCACAATATCGCGGTATGGTGACAGATAAAACTCAGCCATGTCATACTGGGACCTGCGCTATTGGCGGAAGGTCCCGGATCGCAAAATAGGAGTGGACTAGGTTCTTGTGGCAAGGAAGCAAGGCCGCTTTTTGTCGGGAACGGCGCTATTCGGGATATACCGGAACTACTACTGTACCCTCCTACGGTGGGTCCGTCGGGTCTCGATCCCAGCCTCGTCGGCGAAACCCGGTAGAGGGCTTGCTCTCCTGCCCCAGCTTTGTTGGTAGGCCCTCCATTCGCAGCTACGAAACCTCGTTCTACAATTATTTGGATTCTGGACGCATTCTCTCTAGAAATGTTTTTCCCAGCATTTCTAACGTGGTGGTTGTAAATCTGCACAGTTCTGGTGGTTTATGAAGCAGGCGTCAGCGTACGCTCCAGATGGCGGCGTACTCGTACTTGTTCATGGATTAACTGTTGTTTCTGTCGCTGCTGACCGTACTGCCTATGCCTCGACATACCTGCGTTGCTACCTACTCTTCAGCCAGTGACCGTACCACTTTGTATTCGTTGTTTCCCGTCGGTTTTGCTCTTTTTCGTTCCTGCCAACGCTGCAACAATCCCTACCACTTCACGACCTTATCGATCTGCCAACGTTGCACCTTTTCCCCTGACAAACGTTGCGGGTCTGCTGTCCAAAGTACTATGTGCAGAGAGATCTAGACCTCCCACGCGACCCTGACTTGCAGCCTTCAGCGATTTCCCAGACCATCTAAAACATCCGGACAACACCTCATTCATGCTGCGAGATCTCTGTGTGCGCATTCTCCCCCGTCACCCGTGTACGTTTCTTGCCCCTTCTTTCGCTGTCGAACGCCGCTCTGCCCACCCGACGAAACGCCTCGCCCGTTTGCAGGAAGACCTCGACGTCGTTGCGTTCGCCTACGTCCCCGTGCCCTACACGGTGAACCCTTTCATCTCGTCCTTCAACAAGCACCCGGACTACCTCATCCACCTCAGCCAGAGCCAAGCCTCCTCATCCGGAAAAGGGCGAAGCAGCATCGGCGGCGGCGGCGGCGGTGGCGGCTCGCGGGCGGGAGCGAGTCCGGTCATCAGCCCGCTCCCATCCAGCTCACCACGTGAGTGGAGCATTGGAATGTTTTCCCTTCCCGTGAAAAATGTTTTTTCCGGCTGTGAAGAAGTCTTCGTCCCGTGGTAGAGCTCTTTTTTCCATGAACGAAAGCGCCGATCTCCCTGAGGCATTAATGGGTTCATCAAGATTCCTCTTCGTTGACACCATTTGAATTACTTCTCGGTTTCATTCGGTTTTGGAGTCGTCATGCTATCTCTCAACTTGCGGCCAATGGCGAAGCAGACGGAAGGCAACGCCAGGTGCCTGGCATAGCTCTGGGCCGGTTTGCCCCCGAAAGTATGGTCAGCACGTCGGGTGTGTTTTTCACTCTTGCTTGTGGGTACGCCTCACCAACCGTTTGGGACCAACGTTTTTCACTTTTAGAGGCGACCTACAGTATGTCCAGGCCTAGGTTCGGGTTTTGGCTCTGCTGCTGTCTTTTTCCCTGTCGGATGTTAACTCCTGTTAAGGCTGTCGCATGTTGACGCCGGGGTGTGCATCTCATATCACTGTGCATGCCTGCTGTCATTCATTCGTCGCTGCAACCTCTCTATATGAACGCATTTCACATCACTGCTGTGCATGCCCGCTGTCAATCTTCGCTGCCCTGTCTCCGTTTGAACACACCTCCTCGTGTCACTGCATGCCTGCGTCCAATCGTCCCTGCCCTCTCTCTGCTTGAAAACAGGGTTTCGAGGCGCTGACGGTAAGCTTGGCATCATACCTGAGACATGTAACACTCGACAAGAAGGCCACCACAATGCTGGAGACGATGACGTAAGCAGCGGCACTACCAACGACGATGACCCAAACAACATCAGGGGGGCCGAAGGTCTCGACAGCTTCTCGCCGCCATTCCGAGAGGGGGACGACGCGACAAAAGGGAGGGTGCAAGGATTTCGAGGACCAACGGATAGGGGAGGTTCGCCACCAGCTGGAGCAGTAGCTGCCGAAACCACCAGCGACAATGCCGAGCCGTCAGCAGAAGAAGGGCAGCAGTCATCGGTTACCGGTGCTGCTCGGCAAAGCTCATCGGCCAATTCATCACCGTGAGGGACAGACCTCTCACTTCTTGATGTCACATGTTGTATTTTTTTGTTGTATTTCTGTATTTTCCGCTCTATTCCGTGCATGAATGTTACACATTGTGGTCTATTCATCCCGGTCTCCGTTGGGCGTTTCTGAACGTTGTTTGCGCTTCCCGTTCTTGTTTTGTCCCCTCTGTTGCTTTGGCCTTCCCCTTCTGTTTGATTTTGTCCCTTGAGGTTTCAGTGCTGTTTGTTTTTCTGGAACATGCCCCCAGCACATTCGCTTGTCCTTGAGGGAAACCAGCTCCCGTTGCACTGGTTGGAGCTACGAAATATGACGTCGCTCACTGCTGACCGGATGACGGAGAGAATGGCTACAGCGTATTGCACCGCTCTCTCCGTCATCTAGGGCTGCATTGTTGTGTTCCTACTTTATCTTTGACTTGCTACTATCACCGGGCCTACGTGATTGGCAGCGTGACTTGGCTGTTTCGGGATCAGCATCGTACTTGGAAGAGGCTGAGCCCCGAATCGAGAACGTCAGTGGTCTAAACCTTCGGAGAGTAGATTCCTGTAATTTTGACTCCTGTTCGATCAAGCGGTCGCACGATGCCGATATCAATGTATCCACTTTGAATTTCGTAGTTACATTCTTGTTCTCGCTATTCTGTTGCTCCTGTTCTACCTTGGTTGATTTTTTCTTCGCACAGGGTGCGCTCCAAACTGAGGAAAGCCATCGCCGAAGAACCGGGATCGGGATCGGGATCGGAGAGGGGTTGTTCTCAGGGTGAGGACGGCGAACCACAAGGCAAGAACAATGACGATTTGCCTTTGTAGTTCTTTCACGACAGGAGAACGAAACCACCGCGGGCCAAAGTTGTTAGCGAAAGTTCTTGGAACGTTATTTGAAACGAAACAGAATCGTACTGCCATGGGAGATCACACTGGCGAGGTTGATTTCATCACGGCACGCTGAGCGATGGCCATGGGTAGCGCGATTGGATGAACTGGAGAAAACCGTGCCGACCATTTCTCGCGTCCGTGAGCCGCCACCATCCCTCACCAGAGAAGCATGACATTTTGCCCTTGACATGAAGACTTCATCGCTATTTTTACTTCACTAGTGACTCTGCTGCACCTTTTTACATCCAGGAACCAACCGCAGCTCTGGGGTAGCTCGGGTACTGACGAGGGGCGCATCCGACGGCTGCATCGATAGCGGTTCCAGCAACCGCGGCAAAAATAAGAGACGTCCGGCCTCTCTTAGGAAGATCATTCAACCCATGGAGTCAGCCACCAGTGTTGCCGCCGCCTGTGAGGCGACGGTGGCGGACTTGAACCAGCAACAACAGGTGTGTTTGTGTGCGGTATCCTGATACTCTCGTGCAATGTGTTTATTTGGTCGACGCCAGCGTGTCAGATAGATGGTTGGCTGTACACATTGGCGACAAAAGCTAAAGTTTGATGGCCATTCGCTGAATCAAGCAACTGCTTGATTGGTGACGTATCTTCCTTTGCACTTCCACTTGTCCATCTGCACACAGTGCAGCTCAATATTGTCTCTTGATGCCGAGGACGTAGGACGGTTGTAAACCACAAAGCAATGCATCTCAGGTGGTCTCGGACTTTTGAGTCCAGTTTCGCTTTCCCATTCGTTCGCTTGAAACGCGTGTTATCTTCTGTCCCTGAACGCATCAACAGGGTACACACAGCGGCAGCAGAATACCCAGCATTAGCAGCACCTCATTTCGTCGCGGAACCTTTGAAGCTGTTCCGGAGGACGAAGCTTTTCGTAGCGGTGGTGGCGACAGGGGTGTTGCTGTTGTATCTGGGGAGGATGGTTCGTCTGGCCCAGCCGAGAACGAGGTAACCTTCCTGTTCCAGGATGACTCGACGAACAACGCTTCTGCTGCGGGGACAAAGGAAACGGAAGGAGGTGGGTGCGCGAGATGATGGCGAGGTGATCCGGGTGGAATTCACGGCGTCGAGCATGGATCGCTGGACTTGGGACTTGAGAATCCGATGTCCTCTGTGGAATGAGAACCTCCAAAGCGCGCGTAACCCCACTCCAATCTCTTGCTAAAAAAAAAGGCTATCAGGAGGTGATAGCTCGAACGCGTTGCCCTCATATCCACGTGCATGACAGCAAGCGGAAGACGCCATTTTTTTTCACGAGGTCATTAATGTTTCGCTATGATATTGGCACTTTTGAATGGCTCCCAGGCACTGTAAGAAATAGAACACTACAGTAGCATCCGCGCTTCTAGTCTTTTTTGTGCGTTTATCCTGTCGAAACGTACTTCGACCCCGCTCACCGCGTGCGGATTGTACCCCCTCGCCCACCAGAAAACAGGTGAGTTCTCGAAAATGCCCGGTGTAAAACCGACGACAAATGTTTGATGAATGAGAAAGGATCGCGTGAGAGAGACAAGCACACAGCGAACAACATGAAAAACCTCGCCATCCTTTGCTGGACGCTCCCGATTTTGCCGGGACGAAACAGCAGCTGCAGAAGCAGGCACTGCGCTGGCGGCGCTAGGGCTTGTATCGGCGACAACGGCGACCACCGCCATCATCACCACCACCACCACGAGCAGCGGTGGCGGTGGCGGTGACGGTGGGGGGGGCGGGGCCAAGAGGGGAGGGCTTCCGAGGAGGAAGAAGCTCTACAGCATGGACGACTACGGGGTCAACATCGCTCACCGCGCTGAGCTGCACACGTCAAAAGTCAGTGCCGTCATGGACTTTCCGCAATCTAGAGCTTGGTGATACAGCGTTAGACCGTCGCCGATTCGATGGATATTTTTTCTCCATTCCTTGGTTCTGCCGTAGCTGCATCCGGTTCCTCCGTTTTCGGTTTCATTCCCCGCCCGTTTGCTGGTGCCCCTGAATCATCTCATACTATTCCGTAACCAGTGCAAACCCGTTCCATTGGCTGCTTCGAATCCGTACCGCTTCCTACTGGTGTGATGCGCCAATTTCACGACAGGTCCCGGTTGTTCCCGCCAGTGGAGACAAGAAGATGGCCGAAGCCCTGTGGAACCTCGCCCATGACCAGGTTGGCCACTCTCGTCACGTTGAGGCTTTATGAAGTATAGCAATGTTCCTAGAAAGAAGCAATGACGAGACCAGCCCTTTCGGTCCACAAACACAACGGCTTGCGCGCTCCATGTCACGTGTGATATTTTACACTATTGCATGGCTCCTCGCGAGATGAACCATTAAGGTGCTTTCGGCGGCTCCGCGCCAGGGCCAAGTTTCCGGCGAGGGTGGGGGGAGAGTTTCGAATTTCTTTTCTGCATTCCGTGCTCAAGAGGTTCCGTCGTACTGAAAGTGCGGAGTCTCACCGGCACGCCATTGTAAGCGCGCCGGAAGCTCACCTGGGCGGCCAGGTGTGACAAGGCCGTGGGTGCATGAACACCGAGCAGGCATGTCTCACACAAAAAAGTGTCTCCCCCACATTTTCCCACCCTTCTCTGTGTTGATGCCCTTTCCTTCCCCTTTAGTGAACGCCTTGAAGTGTAATAATCCCGATTGCCTACATCCCGGTCTCTGCGTAGATGTCCATTATTTTCCTTCAAGTGGACCCCCTCGTGTTCTGTTGTTGTTGTTGTCTTCACATTATAAAGCGTTCCGTTCTCTCTGCCGGTACTAGTCTAACACTGACGGGGCCGATTCCCGTGGTCACAGGCCAACTCTCGAAGTGTGTACTCCCGAAATACCTATTTATCGGGTGAACAACAATGTTGTTTCGTTTTCTATTCCTGGAGATGATGATCTCCTCGTGCACAAGCTGCTGAAAACTTCCGTTACCCCTACCTCCAGGGTAATACGAACGGGGACAGTATTCCGGAATCAATTTCTTCTGGAAATCATGCCAATTCGATGGTCGATCGACGAGGCAACCACCATTCATGCGCTTCGTTCTTCGCTAGGTCTTTCTGGGAATGGCGGCATCTTTCGTGCCCCCGAAGCGTGACATCGTGGCGCTAATCGAAGACGTGGAGGCGGCAGGAGTGCGGTTCGTGTACTTTTCCCCTCGCAACATGAGGCGCAGCAAGGTGTGTTCCGCCTTGGAAATTTCGTTCTCAGATTGATACGGCGTGTGTGCGTTTAGGCTCTTGTGTTTTGTCGTATAACTTCAAATCAGCGCTTACAGCATTGGTGCCGTGTACGCTAGCCCGTGGTTACATAGAAGGGTCCCTCTCCCTGAGACACCCCTCGTGCGGTTCGTTTTGCGCGAGATGAGTGCAGCACTCTCTTTCGCAGGCGTACACACGACCTATTGTTGCGTTCGATGTGTCCAACGGCCTTTGGTCAATATCTCCTCCTTTCAGGACGGTGGTGTACAAGGGAAAATTGTTTTCTCTTTTGTTGTTGCAGACTGTGAGGCAATAAATTTTGTGCGTACGTTTGCGTTGTTTCATTGGTGGCAAACTAACAACAGCATGACATGACCACATAAGTGCGAAGAAGTTGTTATATTTTCCTGGGCACCATGAGCACTTCTCCCGTACTTGGGGCGACGAAGATAAACACGGAAATGTGTGCACATTTTTCGTCGGGGAGTGGGGCTCTTCGTGTGCCAGAACGCCCTACGAGACATGTCAAGTTGAATCTTGCAAGGTGACCATATGTAAGATGTGGCCGATTGTGGGCAGGAAGGTTTCGTATTTTTTTCGCTATCAAGGTGCTCGTCGACAACATGCGATTGAGATTGGCTAGAGACGGTGTGTCTTTCTTGAACGTTGAAATCCAACACGTTGTGAGACCAACAACTGAGGCACACCCAACTGCATTGCGACTGTTTTGCAGGCCCTTGCCGAGAGCATGGGGATCGAGACCGACTGGAACTGTGCGATTTCGCTTCGCCCGCTGGAGGACTCTTCGCAGCCAGACCCTCACAGGATGAAGTCGTCCTATGCAGACTGGGACGTCAAGGTAGAGCACACCGGCAACAGGCTACCTGCTGCAGCAATCGCAGCAGCAGCCGCGGCAGCAGCAGCAGCGCTTGTAACATTCTGCTCCTTTGCACTAGCCCTGAACTAGTACCGCAGGTCACTGTGGCCGTTGCCTTTCCAATTGGGATATCGAAGAAGGCACGTTTCGTAGTCGGTGCAAGTTGCACGGCGCCTGCTGCTTCGTTTGTCTTCGTTCCCGACCGTGCCTTTCACCCCGGCCCTTTGCCTCTGAACTAGCCCGAAGTCTTTCGCTAGCCCAGTCCGCAGCAGCATTTTATCCTGGTGGCAATTACAATGTGGAGGCGATTTGTTTGAAAGGTGGTCAAAAGATTTCTTAGGGCCGTTCAGCATTGGGTTGTTCTCCGATGCGTTCTCCTATCCCTTCTCTTTTCAGTGTTGCACACAACTCTCGCCCTCGGTGTTGTGGTCTGATTTCCTTCCCTCGATCGCCTTGACACCCTGCGGCAGGCTCGTCTGCCGCACGGCATCGCCGACATCCGAGACCACATCGAATCCGTGGACAATGTGCCGCTCCTGGTCTCGCTCTTCACTGACGCCACCCCAGAGACGATCAAGGACATGCTTGCCATTTACCAAGAGAACGACGAGTGCACGCTGGCTGTTGGCATGTCGCACAGGTGCGTGTATGTTCTGATTTTGGCGACAACGGCGTTACGTATGGGTGACCGCTGAGAAGCGGGGACAACCCCCAGGATGTGAAATATATGGGAATAGCTCAAGAATGTGTATGAAGTGGAGACGTCTCAGGGATGTGCGTTCAGTTTGTTGGCGCCGGCAGGGCTGGCGGACTGTCCAATGGAGAAAAAAATTCGTCAGCGTCAGCGAGCAGCATTCTCGCAGCTCTCGAGCGGAAACCGGCTTTGCTTCGACGGAGATCTGTGTATTGTTTTTCCGGTAGACGGGGTGACGACGATGACGTGCGCCTTGCGCGTGGGCGTGCGATGCTCGGCTCGTCCTGGACGTTGCTATATGGCGTGGGAATTTTTGCTGCCATCGTTGTTGATCTTCTTTCGGTTGCAAAAGGATGCGATATTGAGTTCAGCTATTCGCATTACCATGGTGGTTTTTCGCGGTGCACTGAAAGATTTTTGGTAGTACGGGGCCCCTCGAACGAGAGAAGGAGATCAACCCTGCCACTCTTGTTTCCAAATATTGTGTTCACAGAAGATTATAGGGTGCCGGAGAGATTAGCGCAAATAGACAAGGAGCAGGTGGACATAGACAACGAGGAGGTGGGAAAATAGATAAACCGGAGAGTGAGAGTGTTCCGTGACGCGATTGCCGGCATTGTTTTCTTCTCAGGGCTCCGTCAAACATTGTTTCGTCCATGCTTAACACCCAGGTAATTGGCCGCCAGCAATATCCATGAAAGAGTCGATTGCGTGGCGGATTAAATCTCCACCCCCGAAACCTGTCCCAAGTCTCCCCCTCACACCAAGTCCAACAGGTTTGGGCCTCTCTCGAACCACGTTTGTCGCCTTCGCCCGACGTGGGTTCTCTTGCTGTTCTTGCAAGTTCCTCGCCATGCGACGAAACTCTACCAATCCCGCCGCCACTTTTGTTGCAGGGCCGTGAACGCGGATCTATTCCGGGCGGCGGACCTATCCTTCTCGGTGGAGAACCTCCCGCTAAACCAGCCCCTCTCGAGCCTCCCGGCTGCGAGCTCGTCCCGTTTCTCTGCGATCGATTCCGCTTTCAACAGCTCGATCGTGGGGCTCCATACTGCCCTACCACTGGGCGACGTGGTAAGTTGTTGAGAGCGTCGGTTTCGGTATGGGTCAGCAACGCCTCAAGGTTGTTGTACATGTTTGTTCGATGATTTCGTTTCGTCCATGATTGCTTCGAGAACTGCTGCGCCTGGGGCAGCACGAGGCGCTCACCCGTTAGCTACGTAGTGAGTGGGCGGCTGGGTGCGAAGCGGAGATCTGCCTCGAAACCCTCCCGTCGCAGATGCTCACCACTAGTTTGACCAACGCTGTTGTACGAATTATTTCTCGATCGAGTGTTGGCCGCACGACCCCAGTTACCACGCGCTAACAAGGTCTGCGCGTAGGTAGAAAGAGTCAGCACCCAGAAAAAAATGAATAAATATGACTTGGGGAGAAATTGGTAAGGTTCCTTACGACGTGTTGGGCTGCTTGGAGGCATGGGCTGGCGTGGGGGCTGTTGTCGATTACAGTATGGTATCTTGTGTTCGCGGATGTTGTTCTCACGTCAAAATTCAGACTAGACCTACACATCCAGTGCCCCTTTTCTTCGGATTCGGTCCGAATCAGCGAGAGGCGATCTCATTTGTCGTGCTAACGCCGCACACGCACCTGCAGGAGCGTTTTCTTCGTAACGCCGTAGTGTCCGCGCTTTCTGCCCTTGGATCGCAGATGCGCAGAGGGGGTGCTATCGTCGGCCTGGACGACGTGGGCAGTATCATCATCGACCTCATTCGTGAGGGGAGATGCCTGCTAACCAACACGTACCAGGTCAGACCCTACATTGTCGAACCGTGCCGTCGTTTGCACGCCATATTCGTGAATTATATTTTCTTTTCAAAGGTCGTAGGTTGTGTTTCGGTGAAGCGTTTGTTTATTCCCTTTCGGCGGATAGTTGTCGTCCTTTGCAATTGCTCGCTAGACTGGGATTTTCGAAATTTGAGAAACAGCCGCGCCTCGTGTCGGTCTCACCTTGCTTCGCCCGACCTAAACTCACCGACGCTAAATCGTACGTACAGCTTATCTAGCTTCTTCACCGACAGTGTGCCTTTCGACCTGTTTATTCCCGTCCCCCTCTCTGAATCCCCCTAGCCTTGAAGATATTGTTCAGTAGGCCCTGCGTCAATCTGGCTCTCAGAACCCCGCAGCTTTGTGCGTGTTCCAGACTGGCGTAGGCCAGCCACACGAGGATGGTCGGACGATGCTTAACCGCTAGGTGGCGGCGCGACAGAGAGAGAGCGTTATGCAAAATTTCGGAAGTTTTTCACGGGTGCTTCTCCCGCCACGGCTGTGCTCGCGCCAGCGCGTGTCGGCCCGTGTCTCTCTGCCAAACCGTTGTAGTCCTGATATTGCCAATCCCCTCTCCTACGTGGCGTTGCGTGGCAGGCTCTGTCGTTTTTGCTCCTCGGCTCGTTTGCCGTCGCTCTGCTCGTGCTTGTCGCGGCTGCTGCCCCTATCTCGGAGCCCATGGTCCTTGGCGGGGGGCATCTCATTTGGAGCCTGTGGCTGGTGAGGGTGTTGTTAACGTCGTTGTTGCTTCTCGATGTTGGTGACTGTTGTTGCTGCTGCTGCTGCTGCTGCTGCTGCTGCTGCTGCTGCTGTTTCTGGAGTAGTTTTGTCGGTCGATGTTTCCTGTTCGAAAGGTTGTTTCACGCTTAATGGCGTGGTTCGTAGCCAGGAGTTTACGACAATGAGTAGCCTTGTTTCGGTGATATTGGCACCCCTCCTTCCGTTTTGACGATGTTCACTTGACATGGTTAATTTGCTGATCCTTTCTCTACCAGCTACGCACACATATTTCACCCGTTGCCCTCCCTTGATCTGTTTCCTACGTACGGTAAATGGTGCCACGTGGACGATAGTCATGAATACCAACCACACCGGTTTTTCTTTCGCTTGCGATCGCTTCTATCCCCAAACGATTTGTTTCACCATCCCAACTTGGTGCTTGCATTCTGTGAGGTAGGTTGCCATCCGTGAATCCTTTGGTTTTGCCCGTGACCCTTTCGGTTCGTTGATTGACCGAAACTGCCTTGATTCGTCTCAGGTCTCGTCTTCTAAACCCTTCACCTTTCTCCGGAACTGCGTTTCTTGCTGACCTCCTCAAATGGTTCTCTGGCGACAGTCCATATGTTGCGTTTTCACCCATTAGTCTTGTAGACTCGGCCATATTCATGATATTGATTACTTTCACAGAAATCCAGATGGTTTGCTGTCTCAGTGATGCTTTCGTCTCTTACCGTTAAACTGGTCGTAGTCTGTGAGCGGCGGCGTATTCATGATATTGATTACTTTCACAGAATCCAGATGGTTTGCTGTCTCAGTGATGCTTTCGTCTCTTACCGTTAAACTGGTCGTAGTCTGTGAGCGGCGGCGTATGTGTGTCCGGCTTTTACCTTATCACGCGAGACCGTGTCGAGGCAGATAAAGTAGCAATTTCGAGCGAGAACAATGCATGGGATTTTAGCGAAGTCCATGCAATAAGTATAGTAATGCATGAAATGGCAGTGAAACCCATACAATGCTTGTGACGATACGTGAAATGGCCGTAAACATCAAACATTTAAACATACTTGAAACCCAGGTGGCTCCTCTGCTGGCCACGTCCTTCCTGGCCTCTCCGTCGGATGGTTCCCTGATGAAGCGGACCCCAGAAAAGAATGACCCCAAGGTGATGACAACTGTTCGCGCGATACTACCGCCCCGGGTTGAGGACGATTCGCGGGTGTGGTGATATCTTGCTCAAGTACATTTGGGGTGTCTTGCGTGTGACATGTCATCCCATGTAGAAGTGAGCTTCATGCCATCACGTTCAGAGTATGCAATCGGAGGTGCTGTTTGCTAATTCTAGTTTCCGAGACCGTCCCTCGCTTCTCAAAGGAGGGGTCATCGCAACCAGGACTACCGTAAGAGACGGGGGGATGGCACCCCCCTTAGACCGATTGCTTCACTATCAAAATTTCGACGATATCCAAATGGTGGTTTTGGAAACATCTCGTCGAGGGTGTCCCGTAGAATTATCGGGCTCTCCCAGCACCCCTTGGTTGAGGAGAAGCTTTTGAACGTCGGTCTAGGGGGGTGCCATATCTCCGCTCCTTCATGTGTTGTCCGGATTTTTCAACCCACGTACGTATGACCGCGGCGCTTGGAGTTGTTTCTCAACGTATGCTCGAGCCTTTTCCATGGAAGAGGTTTTATTCGGGGGCAACAAAAATATCTCCTCTGCGGGACGTAGAATGCCTCACATTTTGATGCGAGGAGCCTCCATCGTATATGCAAACTCTTTGTCTCGCATACATGAATTTCTCCTCATCAAGAACAACTGCAATCTCTGTGGATCCTCCATAAGCCAGGTCGGGTGTATTTTTGCTCCGCGTCAATATCATTCTCTCATTGCAGCGACCTTCTTGCCCAATTTTCTTCGCGGGTTCGTCTTTTTTTCTGAAAATACTCGACCAGGTCGTTCCGATCGCTGGGAGGCTGGTGGTTCACCTCCTGCTTCGAACTTTCCCAACGGTTTTTATCTGCGTCGGCTTGTACGTGGTCCTCGTCGCACAGTTCATCATCGCCAACGACGCCGAGTTGGTTTCCTCATGTGGCAACGGCGAGGTACACACAGATTATGGTGGATATCACCTCCTTCTTCGAATTACACAAATTTGGACCCCACTCCCCCCCAAGTCCTGAGAGAGTAACATACAAATTGGTGGATTAGGGAACCCCTTGCCCGCGTCAAAAAGTATACCCAGTAATTGGTCGATGGAACGGCACTGGTTGACAGGGTGATTCATCACGGTCAGATACGCAGCTTACTGAATCATGGGCTGCAGGCGAAGTGCATGGCATAATCTAATCACTTCGTTGTGCTGGATTTTTGTGGGTTATGGTCTCGCTACCATCGCCCAGTACGGTTCGGGTTAGCTTCCAGAATGTTTAGCCCGAAACCAATAGAGGCGACAGTAGTCTTGTGTTTTGCCCTTGGCCTCTCACACGGAGTGAATATTGTTGCGAATTGTACCTTCAACTCCAGCACGGCTTGAGCTGGCTCTATCACGCAGCGGCGACCGCCAACAGAAGGAGAGGAAGTGTTGTGCGTGAGCTTCACCCCCCGCACCTCCACCCTGAACGACCTCTGACGCTGACTCACTGCGTATGGAAGAAAAGTGTTGACATGGTCTTGGTCGTGTAGATCGCCTTCGATACGCCAGACGGCAGTAGCAGCTCATCTACCCAATGAACGGGGTTGATTGGACAGCTTCGGTGGTAATATCGTGACTCTATGCCCACGCTTTGTCTTTTCTGCTGTGTATCCCCAAGCAAACAAACTGGAGCACCAACACTAAGAACAAAGACTGAAATCCATTCTCCTGTCCACCACCGATAGGCGTCGGACGCCCACAGGGACTGGGTAGATATTGTGTGGTGCCTCGCGCGGGACAACGCACGAGGGGAAAAGGCTAGGGAGGCGTCCGAGCAGGCGGTTGACCTCGTCACCCTTGAACTAGTCCTCTGCCTCATCGCCCAGTCGGCCAGCTTCATGTACAGGCAAGTTGTTGCCTAGGTGGGGCGTAGTTCTCCCGGAAGCCATTGCTCTGTCTTGTTGTCCGCGCTTCATGTACGTTTGTGATTCGGGGTCATGATGACCGTATGCCTCCTCCGGCGATCGGCCTAGTTCGTGGGTTCGACAACGGCCTGCCTTCATACCGTGCCCTGACCGATGTTTGTCGTTTCAAGCTTGGCGGATCTAGTGTCAGTTACGTGCAGTAGAATGTATATATCAATCTTGCAGCCGTTCAACTCGTGGTTCAGGTGGCCTTAGGCTGTGGCCCTCTGCCCGATGGCGCTCATGGCTGAGTATCGTTCTATAATACAATGGCCGCCTTCTCATATTGTGGGACTGCTTGGTGTTTCACAGGACACGCTGTCATGACCGTGCCCGACTTGCTGTTCGACCACTCCCAACCCTACAACCGCAGTTATGATCATGCGTGTTAAGCGTGTTGTCGTCTTGGTTGGAGAAGGTTGGAATCAGTCGTAGAGAGACTGTGACATCGAATTCGCACCTCCCCCCCCGCTATACTCGTATTTGAACCGCTACGTGCAATATCGTCCCCCTATTTGGAAATTGCAGCCTGCGCGAGGATATCTTTGTCCTTCTAGCTTACTATTCAGTTCTCGTGTGCATGATCGTTACCGCCTCTCGCCCGACGGGTCGGGACTTGTTTCAACAGGACAGCTAGTATTCGGAAAGAACCGCCATGGAAGAACTGGGTTTGGAACAATTGCGTTATCTTTATCCTCTGTCTGCAGGTGAGAGAATTGGTGTGGCAGCGACGGTCTAATTGATGGGTCATCGTAAATCGAGGCACGAGTTTGCCGGCCGTGCTAGGTCGTGAAATGAAAATACCTTGTGATATAAACATGGAACAACCACCAGCAACCGCAACACAACGCGGTTGGGGCATTTGTGTCAGCCCCGCTGCGGCTGCTTCGCAAATTGGTTCGTTTCGTAAGCTCACGCCGATTCAACACATGTGGGTAAGTGGCTGTGTGCGTATACCGACTGTAGGTGCTTTTTCGTGATGCCGCTTCGCTTCCAGGATGACCCGCTGCTGCTGCTGCTGTTGTTGGTCCTCGAACTTAGTAATAGACAGAATACGTTCTCATCAAGGCGACCTCAGAATCACTGCCGACAGCAACATTACCAGCAGCGGTAGAAGGCTTCATCGCTACACTGGCCGTTTTCTTTCTTTAGATTTCAATCTCTTGTCGTCATTCAAGGTTTCTTCCAGACCTACATCGGGCGAGGGCCCGAGTCACTGGCTACTACTTAGTGATGCGCAGGACTATCCAGCGCAACCTTTTTCCCGCCCGGAACCACCACACGTACCGTCCAGGTCTTCCATCTTTGGGCGGCGGGGGCTGCTCGTGGATCGCTGCAGCTATTGTTCAAGAGCCGATGGGAGCCCCTCGTCGCCGGATTCTTTTGCCCCTTTGCTGTGCTGGGCATCGCAGAACTCCTGAAGCGCAGAGACGCTCGAGTGTTTGACCGCTACGTCACGCTGCTACGGCTGGAGTTCGACACGCGGCTAGGGATGCATTCCCCGAGATAGCAAACAAGGTGTTACTGGTACAAGCACATCTGAGGCATTGACATGTCCCGGGGCTTAGCCCCGACGTCGTCTCAAGCTCACCCCCGTCCCCGCTGCGCACGGGAATGTTTTCTGCAAAGACCTACTGCTACGTGGTAGTTCAACGGCTGCTTTGCTGTAAACGGTATGGACGCCATGCAGACGGCGGTAGAGACGCTTGTAGATAGAACAGGCAGAGGTTTGCTTCCGGAGAAGCATGAGGGAGTGGGGACAAAGTATTTGCAAATATCATACAATACCACACCTTTGGTGCTGTGATGTCGACTAGGATTGTCTCTCCACGACCGTTGTGTTGATGGAATTTTGTGGCTTTGTCATGATTACAATACAACACCCCCCTACGGGTGTGCGGTCGGTTTTTGCACGCTGTCATCTTTGCGGTTTTGGATGTTGTAGAAGGGCGAGATGAGGGATGGTCAGGGTCGAGGTACTAAATACTGCAAGGGTAACCGTTTATCAAGGTATTCCCAAACCCACCATCCATGGGTCAAGCCTTGTGCCTTGTATATACAGTCTAAGCCACCCACCCAAAGCACTGCTGTGGACCTGCGGTTAGGCCATGGCCTCGCATGAACAAGATCAACGTTGAGCATGATCCATCCCGTGCCGCTCCTCCCTTTTCTAGCCGAAAGATGCATAATTTGTACGTATCCAGAACACTGATTGTTGGGAACAATGCTGCAGTGTATGTAGACTATAATAGTGTCCTCCTGTTGAGTGTAGATCATTTCTCCGTGCAGCCATTGCATCGGAGAGATACATGTCGCGATAGTCAACAGCAAACAAACTGATGGCTGTGTTGATCTGGAATCATGATCAAAGGTGGAAGCCTTGGTAGGATACAATACGTTGGGTACGCGACGGAGGTGTCGGGTTGCTTGCCGTGCCGTCGCCGCTCAAGAGGGGTACAAAAAACTAGCCGCAACAAGATACCCGCCAAGCCTCTGGGCAGCCCGATGCCTGTTGTCTGTAGGCGGTCTACTGCTGTAGGTCTGGTCGGAACCGCTTACTCAAGAGCTACTGCCGAATAGTAGCCAGTCGCAGTCGTTAGTGGAAGCACTTCAGGGTGAGGGCATGCCAGTGCTGGTGCTACGTAAATGCATTTTCGATCGTTCATGTAAGGCAGCTTGGCGGCAAATTCTGCTTCGTTTGCCATCGACACCACGTCCGGTGCTCCTTGCTGTCACAGACAACCGACCGGGCCACGTAAGAAAAAGCAGGCTCCATCTCTGCCGTACTCCCTGAGCACACACTGCTGGGTGCAGACAAGCTTTATATCGCGTAATTTGCTAGTAATAAATCCCCGCCCTCCTGTCCGACCTTTCTCCAAGGTAGAAAGATACGAATGTTTAGTACAGTGGATTATCGGCACACGCGCCCTGCGAGATTCTCTGGAGCTATAAAAGCTTCCCCAACCCACCCCAAGACACCCTTCCCTCCGCACTCGAAGAATTCAGCCCCAATACATTTCCCACGCAAACGCTGACTGGACCTGGTCTAAGAGGAATGGGCAAGAGGTTCAACAACACCTTGTGAGCGCCTCATAAAAAGACATGGCAACGGATCTGCTCCTAATGGGTGGACTATGTATAGTCAGTCTAAGTCTACACGTATTTCTTCAGGCTGGGATACTGTATGGTGAAACGGGGTGTTTAGACGACGGGTAAACACTTGCCCGAAATATGGGTTGGCCCGCTCTCTCTTGGGGTAGAATCTCAAGCGTCTTAAGCAGAGCGACACAAGGGTGTGGGTTACCTCGCCCATGATGATGGTGCTGTTTTTGTTGCACGTATGCCTGCCGAGCTTCCATTTCTTCCTCCAGCACGCAGAGGCGTGGGGGAAATTGGGTGTTTGTTCGTGGACTGCTGTGGACGGGGATGTTGGAAGTAGGGAGCAGCAAGGTTCGAAATCAAGATCTGAATTTGAGTCAACACTGCTGCTTGCGAAGACCGGATTGATAGGCCCTCTCTGCTATTCCACTCTGTATCTACTTTATTTTTTTTATTGACAGTATTTATTTGTCATCGAAGAACTATGTAGACCATAGATATAATACAGCACCGTGGCGCCACGCTCATGGCCGTTTGCCCCCCGCATGTAATTTTGCTTACCACCACGTTCAGGCATGCCCCGAGGAACTCACGCGCCCGGTTGAGCACCACCACTAGACTATACTCTACGCTATCCAACCTCCTCATCGATATTATAGACTAATAAAAGCCACCGAATCAACCGAACTGGAGATTTCTTCTGTATTTTTGTGTTCCTGTCGACATGTGTGCCAACAGCAGGGGCCTACAGCAGTAGACTACTGTTATTCTGTGTACAGGCAAGAACACGCATGCCAGTTGAGGTTCTACTATATTTGTATATGCAACCAACAATGGTTACAACAACAACCACGATGCCCCGAGGAACTCACGCACCCGGTTGAGCACCACCACCAGACTATACTCTACGCTATCCAACCTCCTCATCATCCATATAATAAGCCACCGAACCAACCGAACTGGAGATTTCTTCTGTATTTTTGTGTTCCTGTCGACATGTGTGCCAACAGCCCTACAGCAGTAGACTACTATTATTCTGTGTACAGGCAAGAACACGCATGCCAGCTGAGGTTCTACTTTTTATATGCAACCAACAATGGTTACAACAACAACCACGATCTTGCTCACATATTTCCACATCTTTCGAGGCACAATTTCTGAGAACTTCGCTGACCGAGCGCTCCGTGTGATACCGTGGGCTTCGTGAGAGGACTCTGCAAACGACACAAAAAACAATGTGTGTGCGCCAGAGGGGGCCCGAACACGCGGTACAAACACAAGAGTGGCAGGCGGAAGGTTCCTTAAGTGCGACATACTACGAGCCAACTTAGCAAGCGTGCAATCACGAGACATCTCCTAGAAAAAAAAAAAACGAAAAATAATCAATCCGAGATACAGCGGAAAAGTCAAAACTCAGAAATTATCAAAAGTTGATGGGCAAACTTGTAGTAACTCTCCGATACGTACGACACCCAACAAGTCACAGCCGTATGCATACTACAGATGACACACACACCACCTAGCATACCCGTACGTTCTTGATTCAATGAATGAATACCGGGAGGGACCGACGACCGCTGGGTATATCTCCTGCAAATCGGTTGGAGTACAGTATGCAAAGTACGTTTGTTCTACATGTATGCGTGCCTCCTGTAGGAGATCTCGGAGATCTGGGAGATCTGGCGGGGTCGGCGGGGCCGGCGGCTAGCGGGCGGTGGGGCGGTGGGGAAATTTGAAATGATTCTTCACAGTTTTCCCGTCCCGCCGCCTTTCTTCAAAGTCTTCAGGTTCTTCTTGCGCCTCACCAGACCCGCTCACGCACACACACCACTGTCTCACACACACGTCGTTCTCCGCTCTAAGCCACAACCTCGCGAGCACTCTCTGCTACCCCTTCTCTCTGCGGCAGTCACACACGTTCAAGAGAAGGTGTGCCCGGAATACCACTTGCTTGGTGCCGACAAGTCGTTAAAGATGGCGCCCAACGCCGCCACAGCTGCTGTAACTGGAGATGCCCAAGCTACGAACGCAGGTACGGAGGAAGCAAAAACTGCTATGGACGCAGTGGCCATGTTGTACGACAGCAGCTTCATCCTGCTTTGCACGATTTGTGTTGAACCATATCTAGGTTTGATTCCAAATGTTGTGATAGGATGTGGTGACAGATGATGTATGATGACGGATGACGGAGGACGTGCAACACACGCAACGCAAACCGTACATCAACCGGCTCTTTGGCTGATTTGATTTTTCGAATCAACGCCAACGGTGCCGATCGAAATAGCCTGTTGCATTGCTCGCGTGTGTGGCTGCTGCGTAGCACTATGTGACTGTTTTCTCCAGACTGTCGAGGTCCCTCAGGCACGACTCGGTGCCGCGTCCCTCCTCGCCGCGTTTCTTCGGCCCTTCGCCTGAAAAATGTTCTGCAGACGGTTCCAAGGGTTCCGCGTGGGCGAGACTTCACGGCAGGATCAATGAAGTGGCCGACAACTTCTTCTATCGCCTGGGGTACTGGGTGGCCACGCACCCGAAACGGACCCTTCTCATCAGCCTTGTCTTTGTGATCGCCTGCTGCTTCGGGTTCGCCAACTTCAGGATCGAGGCCGATGGTGAGGAGAGGTAGAAATATCATGACACACACAATGTATCCTTGGTGCAGGGGGTAGCAAGCATAGCACCATTTATTGATGAAAGAAAAAAAATACACGCACAGAAAGACTACCCTTCCCACAGTCTACTATTTACTTCGTATTTGACAGCCCGAACGGCGTCGGGGTAATGTTGGCGATGCTTTTAGCTAACTCGGTATTGTCATGCCGCACTGACGAACAATTTAAGTTACGTGCGGCATCCAATATGCTGTTCGTGGTTCGTCTGTCATGGTCACTCAGACTTGCGCGACGCCACCGTTAGAATGTAACGAAAAAGGTAAAAAATGACTCTTCTGAGGAGTGTTATGGGAGGTTGCCTACCGTAAAACCGTATGTTGTACTGTAAATATGTGTAGATATGTGATCGATCGTGCTTGAACAGAATGACGTCATGCAAGATTCGGACTTTATGCCGAGGAACGCACCCGTCTTGCTCAGTGTGCCTGTGTGCGCGCGATCGGGTTAATCGTGTGCGCTTGGGATCTGTGTGCGTTGGCTTGGGTTGCGTTGGAAGACACGGGAGGGCAATAATCAAGACAAAACAAAAGAGAGAGAGCAACAACAACCTGCATCTGGGTCGGACAAGAGAGTTCACAGCATAAAGGTTCAAGGGTCTCACTACACGCGGCGAGACCCTCAAACATATGTAGGCGATCGCTGAAAACACCGATTTCACAAAAAAAAAACGCCGAAGAAATATCCCTTGGAACCCGATTTGGTCCCCTGCGCCAAGAACCCTGTCTCCGCGGTGCGGCCGATCCGTGCCAAGACGCGCATCATACGGTACTCGGCGATGACTACCAGGCAAAACCCACACAGATACACCTCTCGCGATGCATTTAAGGACTTCCATTTTCCACTACCCAGCCGAATTGATAGCACTACTGCTGTGCTGTTCTGGAGCATAATTTCTCCCCGCAATGTTTTCGTATCTATCGCCTACGGTCGTGTTTACATGACTGCTGTCCATTCTCGCTGACTCTCGACGTTCGTCACGTGCACGATGCCGACACCGACTACGCCAACAACAACGCTGACGACGACGACGACGATAGGGGAGGACCTCTGGGTGCCAGCAGACTCCTTGGCCAAGGATCAGCAGGACATCATCATTCAAGATTTCGATGACGGTGAGATTCGCCCACTCTGCAGTCAAGCAACCTGTCTGACCGGCCCTTGTCCCCTACACAAGTCAACGCCGGGAATGGGAACCATTTGATCTACTTGAGTACCTCGGTTGACCCACGTATTAGTACAGGCCACGAGCATCTCACGCTTTTGTGTGTCGCCTCATGTGCATTTATGTTCCCAGTCTTGCGTCTGGTGGTTGGCGGTAGTCAACTCTACCGTCCACTTCCGCCCGTTGCTTGCCTAGCCAACAAGGAAACGCTGACCTAATTCGACCCAGTGATACCGACGTCAGTGTGTGCTGTGCTGTTCTGTTTCATAACATGCGTGTACCCCCTCTCACGGAACATATTCCATATCTTGCAGTCTGTGCTTCCGACTTGTGCCCCACCCATCGTCTTGACTGCTGTCTATTACCGAACCTCGGCTCGGGTGGTAACCTGCCCAATACAATCTCTGAATGCAATGCGTCTTGCCTTTCAGACGGTGAGTACGCCGCCTTTCTGGTGGAGAGCCCGTCTGGCAGCGTGCTGACAAAGGAATCGGTCGATGCGATCTGGGAGCTGGATGCCATCGTCATGGCCGTCGAGGTAGAAACAGCCCTGGAAATTGTTGACGTTGATGTTATTGCCGTCGCGTACCATTGCTGTTGCTGTTGTCGTCGCGGTTGCCGTCGTCAGTGCAATGGTGTTTTCTGTCTTGAATGCTGTTTTGAAATGGTCGCAATGTGCCATATACATATACGCACCACGCGTTTTTCAGGTGGCAACGAACACGCTGACTTTACTTGCCTCATATTCCCCCTCTCGTGTTTGTGTGTTGAAGGCTGGTGGCAACACATACGTCGACGTGTGCCCAAAAGAACTGGACGGTGTGACGTGCGAACCGCCGTTCCGTGGGATCACTCGCTTCTGGGGAGATTTCGACACGTACGAGGTAACTATCGCAGAACCATTTCTTGATCGGGCATCGGGCGGATTTCTGATACCTTCTACTGTGTTTGTGATGCCCGCAACATTGTGTCTCCAAAGACTTAGGCACGTTGTTTTCGAACTCTGACGTGCCCTTGAAAGCGAACAAAATATTGCTCTGACAAGCATAACGCAGTGTTCTTGCCGTAGCATAACGTCTTCTTGTGGGGGGCACGTGGTTGCTGCGAAGGTAGGCTGTACCCATCTCTCTCGTCCTTTTCCAGCCACGCGGAAACAGGCCATAGCACTAGAAGCGTATCTTTCACCAGTGCTATCTGCCGCTCTACGAATTGCGCGCTATGCTGCGTCTTTCAGCGCACGCACGTAGAGAATCTTCAGCCCCCTTGCACTTTCCACCGCCTTCCTTCATCCCCAACACGCCGTTGTCTGCGTGCCCATCTTCCGCAACCCATTCATAAGGCCTCCGTAACAAGCGATGCGGATATTCTTGCCGCCGTGAACGTGGCCACCTTCCCGGACGGATCGACGGTTAACCAGCTGGCCCTCTTCGGCAACGGGATCACCTACGACGCTGATGGCAACATCTCCGGAGCAAGTGCGACCATGCAGGTGATCGACCGCGTCCTGTCGTCATGATGATGCTTACTGACAAGTGTTGGATCAGGTTGGGTGGAATTGATACAAGCCAATGTTGTTCAGGTTGGACAGATGTAACGTGGGAAAGACACCCCCGAAAACGATACCCCGTTGTTGATCAAGTATGGTGTAGCAAGGATAGCCACCCTTTGTACGAAGTGGAACGTGTGTCTGGTCAAGACTGTGTTACGTCATGTTGGATGTGCAGGGTGGAACAGGTATTCCCTGTTCGGAACTGAAACGTGCGGTTGATCAAGACAGACGAGGACGACGACGATGACGATACGGGCATCTAATGACGTTACTACAACTGTGTTTTGTATCAGCGAGGTCGTCTGGTCCGGCGTCGTCTTCGACTGATTAACTACCTTCAGATTGGCTAGTTTAGCACTTGTCCACGCCACGGGGATGGCCTCCGTCCGCTCCCCCCCTATTCTTTCCTGCATACCGTGCTCTACCAACCAACTCCAACAGCAATAGATCTTCGTGATGAGTTGTACGTTTCTTCTAACCGTGTAGTTTCACGGCATTTTTTCAAACCGCGGCTTCGCAGGCGTATGCGCTCGGGTCTGACCCTGATGAGGACACCGACCTCAACGATGACGTTTTCGACTGGAACGGGGCGTTTCAGGTAGCAACTGGCTGGTAAACTGACGAGAACTCGCTCTCAAGACGCTCCGTGGAACGCACAGCGCCTATCTAGTTGGGTTTTGCAGCCCACTCTTTCATGTACTATCGTGAGCCGGTAGATTTTGTACACTTGTAGGCTCTACTCCCGATGGACGACACGCTGCCGGTGATCAATTTTCGAAAGTGGCTCCGACCAAATGGAAAGATACCGATGATAGGCTCACCTCGTCTTGTTTCACAACCTGGACTCACTGTCGCCTTGAATATGGTATATGTTTGAAGCGGTTTTGTCCAACGGGCTACTGTTTGTTTTCCTACTTGGATGTTAATATACTGTTTTGTTTTTTCAGGACGCCATGGAGGAAGTCACGGACGATTTCGATGTTGTCGACGTATACTACCTCACCAGCCGGTCTACCGACGATGCCCTCGAGGAGTCCGTGACCGGCGAAATCTTTCTCTTCATCACCACCTGTGAGAGAATCACCAAGGCTTACAAATTTCCTTGATAAAAACGACTCAGACATGATGCAGCCGAGTTTCTTCGCCGACATCGTGCGCTTCCAGTAATTTTTTAGCCGAGAGGGCTACAGATATTCCGTCGGTATTGCAACCGATATTTCGTGTGTGATATCCTCAGGCGTGTTCTTCGAGATATTTGTTGACCATCCGCTACAAGTGTAGCGGATGCATCGTCACTGTGATCCTCGCCGTTATGGTTGTGGTGTTTCTCAACACCTCTCCTCTCCGTGCCTCGCGTTGCAGACGTTCTGATGGTCGCGTTCGTGTCGGTTGCGATCGGCCGGTGCTGCACCGGACCCGTCAAGCAACGAAGCTGGTTGGGGATTGGCGGCGTCATGCTCGTCATCGCCGCAGGCATGGCGGCCTACGGGCTCAACAGCGGCTTCGGTGAGTCAGCGCCCACCATCGAAAGCTTGTTGAACACTTTCCCGCCTCTGTGGACGAAATCGGTAGGGCGAAGTGGTGCCCCCCAAAAAAGGGCCCAGTCGTTTGTGCTTGCATGTGCTCTTGTTCTTGGCTCCTCTCCGACCCTTCTGACCCATCCGTGTGCCTCTCTTTGGGTCTGCCCGTGTACTGTCTGCCTGCCTGCCTGTCTGTGCATGTACGTCCGGACCTTCTTCCACCGAACGATGACGACGACGACGACGACGACGACATCCTCGCAGACATCCCCTTCACGTCGCTTTCGCAGATCCTCCCGTTCATCCTCGTCGGTATCGGCGTGGACGACATGGTAAGTGTACAGACAGGTGGCCGGATAGGCCCAAATTCTGTGGAAGGGGGGAGAATTGCTCTTGTGTGCTTCGGTTTTTGTCAGAGGCTTTTCGTTCTACCTATGTTGGCGGTGTCACGTGTACCGTACCCACCGGTGTCCCCTTATGCCCTGCATCCTCGCTGTGTCACCGTGCTAAACTAGAACCCAAGTTGGTCTCTCACCTTCACGGTACGTGCTATTGTGCCTGTTGTCGCTCTTGCACCTACGTCCACCACTGTCCCCTTCTCCCTCATTGGTCCGATCTTGTTCGCCTCTCTGTGTTTGTGTCTCCCTCTCTCTCTCTCATCGCCCCTGCCCTACCTCTTCCCACAGTTTGTCATCGTCGCGGCGTATGACCACACCGACCCCTCGCTTGCCGTGGAGGAAAGGGTCGCCCTTGGAGTCAAGCGCTGCGGGGTGTCGGTCACCTGTGAGTTGGACTCCCTTTTGCCATATATGTTTGTATGTATTTGGCACGTAGTTGCTATTCCAACGATCTCGTGCAGTTTTTCCAACGGTAGGGTGCGACCGCCCTCGACTTTGCACAGTTGTCCACAAGCAGAAACATTTCCCTGCGGCGTTCAGCATCATAGTACGGCTACCCCACGCGAGTGTACTTGGTCTCCAGAGCAAAACCGCCTTCCTTTGTTGTTCCCAAGACATATGTCAAAGCTTGGGCAGTGCTTCTTTGACGGGTGTCGACAACCAAACGTGAACGCCGCGTGTTCAATATTTGTGCGACGGCGCTCTTATTCGCTGCTTCTTGATGATTTTGGACCTGCCTCATGAATTGGAGCCGCTTTCCCGCTCTTTTTTTTTCGCAGACACGTCGTTGACGAACTTCTTCGCCTTCCTGCTGGGCAGCTTGACGTCCCTTCCTGCGGTGGAGTACTTCTGCCTCTACGCCGCCACTGCCATCTTGTTTGACTTCTTCCTCCAGGCAAGAAAGAACAATCGTGGGAGGAGCCACACACTCTGTGCCGTGGGAAGCACAGTCCACATGAAGTATGTGCAAGCATGCCTGTCTTCTCTCGGCCCGCGTCTACAATCACGACGTTTCTTCTCCCTCATCATTTCCTATTTGCTTCTTTTCTCCATACGGAACTAGCGATCTACGCCACGAAACACACGTGCTTCTACCAAATTTTGGTTCGTACGTCCATGAAGGAATATATCGTGAAGCCTCTGTCCCCATGCTTGCTTTCTGCCCCCCCACGCAAACTGCTTCATGTGGAGTGTCGAGCTGTTAAAGAGAAGGTCTTTGTTGGATCGCTATTGTACGTACGTCTGACTCTTGAGCCCGTGTCCCGGTCCCGCTCCGAACTACTTCTTGTCCAGATGACAGCTTTCGTGGCGCTTCTGACCATGGACGCCAACCGCCAAAAGGCCGGCAAGATCGACTGGTGCTGCTGCTTCACCAGCAAGAAGTACCTCCAGGAGCAAGAGCGGCAGCACCAGGTAGGCGTGCGTGGACATATGGAGATGGCCTTGGGCCCGTTTCAGGGGTTAGAAGAGTGGCGGGCCCATCTGTGGAGCCTCCTGGCTGCGTGTGTCTGTCATCACCTAGTGGGTGGCTGGTTCACGTTAGGCTGTCGACTGGTTTACATAGGGCTGTCGAAATATTTTGTTCAAAATCTGTTCCGACTTCTCGCTTCTCCTGATCCTGGTTCCAGTGTGATGACGGGTGACATCGTCCCGTATCCTACGTATGTGTATTCGTCCAATCTATATTCTGGGGCCAGTCTACAGTCTGCGCATACAACATATTTAGCTGGCGTATGAGCTGGGGTCACACAGGACGAAGGAGGTTGACACAGGAAAGTTCTTCGTTTTTTTTTCCCGTCGTTCTACAACAGAGTCCATGCGAAGGAACAGCTGGCGTTCTGACCTCCCTGCTTTGTGCCGCTTTCCTTGGCTTCCCTCCTCCCATCGTCTCCATTCGGTTTAGGACGGTATCCAAAGAGGAGTCACGCTGCCTGCCAGCAACGGCGAGGGCGCCAACATCGGCCAAAGGGATCTCAACCTCAAGGCTGAGGTGCACCAGCTATCGCCGATCGGCAGGTTCGTCGTCTCGGATATCCGCCTTTCCCCCCTAACCCCAATCGCGACTTGTGTTGTTTTTAGTTCGCCATGCCGCCCGTCACTCTGCACTGTTTCTCTCGTCTTTGTCACTGCCGGCTGGTTGCACACAGCTTTCGGCTAATTGCTATGCTGACACGTCAGCATGTTGTGTCCTGTTTCTCACCTTTGCTTCGAGCACATTAGTCTGAACGCGACTCGTCCCCCGGTATACCTTTGATCTCGCCGCAAATTCAACCAACAACTAACAATAAATATAAATGGTCGACAGCACAACACACCAGTCCAACCCCGCCCCTCGTTGTAAACTTGCTTTCCTCAATGCGTGGTTTGTTGTCCTTTTTTACGTCACTCGTAGGTTCATGAAGGACAAGTACTCCCCTTCCCTTCTGTCCGCGAAGGGGAAGATCGTGGTGCTACTCGGCTCGGCAGCGCTTCTGGCCGCCGGCATCTATGGTGTCACGCAGGTACTGTGTGTGTCGATCATCGACCGTTGTGATGGATTGATCGGTGGAAATGCCCAAGTTTGCGACGGATCCAGTTTTTTCTCTTTGGTGTATGCTGGGGCCATACCTTCGATACCTCTTGTGCGCCAAAGGTCCGAAATGCGCGCCACACCTCATGTGTTGTATCAACTGCGTGTTTGCTCCTTCCGGTGTTGGCTTGCTGCTTCCGGTGTTGGCTTGTAGCACACGAGGTAGCGCAAAGAGTATCCCATCCGAACTGTAGCACCCTTTTGGAACCCTTTTCACAAACATCGTAATTCGTGGGAAGGTTTATCGTGTGTGTTCATTTCTTTCGGGTCCTGTTCATTTCTTCCGAATCCTGAGAAACTATATTACCATGTTCACCACTTTGTGTCCCTTGCCAGAGATAATCCAATTGCTACGGCTAGCACTTGACCTGGTTTGTGTCGATGTTTGCTGCTTATCTTGTTTTGGTGCCCCCTTGCAACCTACAGGCGACGCAAGGCTTCGACGTCCTCGATCTTGCTCCAGACGGCCACTACTCAATAGCATGTGAGCGCTCGCCTACAGTGTACCAGTTGCTCCTGGGTGTTCCTTTCGCTGTTTCTTTTCGCCGGCTCCCAGTGCTTGCGAAGCGTTTTGTGTGTGTATTCTGCTGCAGCCGCTACGTGTGCCGCACAACGGCCGAACCGTCACCTCGTCCACTTTTTCCATTCCGGTATACCGTTTGCCGTATCTCGACAGACACGGACCGGGCGAGGTTGTACGACTTCGATATCCAAGAATGGTACCTCCCGATGAACGTCTACACCCAAGACGTTGACTATCCCGACGTTACGGTTCAGGTGAGAGTAGGGGGAGTGGATCTCCCGATTCACGAGCACCGCAAAGCCAACAGTTAGCAAAGAACTAGAAAAGTTCATTTGTCAAAGAGAGGGAAGAGAAGGAGTCGGTTTTCCATTCTGCTCGGCTCGTGAACCACGCTGTAGATATATATAATGTTTTTTTTTTTTGTGGCTTACCGCACACAGGCGGAAATGCAGTCCGTCGATGCGGAAATGATCGAGACTAAGAACGTCGACGGACCGCTGGATTCGTGGCTCGCCTCCTTCATCGTGTGGGCAGAGGCCAACACCACCTACAGGTGTGTTTGTGTGTATTAATAACATCGGAACGTTCTTTGGTTCCGCTTACAAAGTCAGTAATTAAGGCGCGGAGGCCTAAATGGGTAATTCACACACGGAACCTTACCGAGGTCAGAACAACGAAACTTGATGTCTCCCCAATCTTCAAGCTAACATTTTGGATTTCTCCAGTACAGAATCAAGTGGCACGGCTCGCGCACAAGAAAGGGCAATAATTTGTTCACGTTGACGGCGGCGGCGAGCGCATGACTGTTGAGGGGTATTGATTTGAGGTGGTGAGGGCAGCGACAGGCTAGCGACCGAGTTTGGAATGGGTCGAGGCACTCGTCGTTAGTCGACCTGTGGCAACATATACCGCACGAAAACAAAACCGGCTGCTGCCACCTTTGATCCTCACTTCTGTTATATCACTTTGGCATCGACAGTGCAAACGTGGGTACGTCTGGGGGCTACCCGGTGTACGACGATCGGGATACCTTCTACACCGCTCTCTCCGCCTTCCTGGCTGACGAGGATAACGCCAGATTCGTGCCAGACGTGGTCTTCGACGACGAGGGACTCATCAAGGTACAGGACTACCGTAGGGCTCTGTGAGGCTGCATTAGGGTGGGCAAAAAGTCGGGGCTCTGTGAAGTAGACCTCCCGATGGCGAACTGTTGTCTGTTCACCGTCGCCGGTTCTCTCGGTGTGTATGCTTCTTGTGCTTGCCGATGAAATCGAGAGCCTGTGAGAGGGGGAAAAAAATAGAAGCTCTGATGTTTCTAGCACCTGTCTGCTTATATGTGAACATGGGAGACCGCCGCTGTCGACGATAACTTCAACGGGTACAACTTGGGCTCAAGGAGTACTTAGATTGGCAAATCTCCACGTCGTTGTTTTCATCCTTCGAAAAGTTAACGCGCAAAGCCGCCGCCCAAACCTTTTGTGATGGGATGCATGCATTCGGGTTGTGGACCTGCGTCTGATACCCTCCCCTCCTTCCCCTCCCCTGAATCAATCGGGCTTATTGCACCCCCCTGTGTCTCAGATAAGTCGATCGGATATGTACCTGGTCAACCTCGTCGACACGGAGAACAACGTGGACGCCCTCAGGGATACGAGAGAAGTCGCCGACCAATCAACGCTCGACCCTCAGCCGTTCGCATACTCCGGGGTACGTGCAGCGGGTTGTGCAATGGGTTGATGTCGTATAGACCGTGTGCATGATTGTGTGCGAAAAAAGCACGGAAACATAGGGCGAGGCCAAAAATCAATCTGCTCGGATTATTCGATCGAAACATGTCTCACGATCTTAGGGGAAGAGGTCGTGTCCACTTCTTTCCTGCTACTGTAACCAGCAGTGACACCGTTCGCCCCGGTAGTCTAGTTCATATCCTCGCAACCTCTAGCACCCAGAGTCAGGGGTCCGAATCCGGCGTAAGCAGGCTTTTCTCGCGTAGTGAGTTGTTCTCTCGCTTCCGTTCCTGGTTGTGGAAAGGGCTAGTTCGTATCGCTTTGAAGGAAGAGAGTGCTGCACCCCTGTCGCGAAAAAAAATCGAAGGCAAACGCCGCAGGAGGAGAGGGTAGAGAACCTTGGGGGAGGAACCCTTCTGTGTGACAACGGGTTGGAGCTCGTACTCGTCAGAAGTGATGTGTGCGAGCGCTGATCTATAGTGATGCACAATAAACCAGTGGCAGCAGCCAACAACCATAGACCAGCACCCCCAACGTTGACAGTGAACCACCATCGGCTGGCTCTCCAACAGGTGTTCGTCTTTTCGGAGCAGTTCGTGGTGATCTACAACGAGCTGCTGTCGAGCTTCGGCCTCGCCTTGTTGGCGGTGCTCGCCCTGAGCCTTTTCGTGCTGGGCAAGGTCACCATCGTCCTCCTCGTCTGTCTAACGTTGGTGGGTCCTCGGAGGGAGTAGTGGTTGGCTTGGAGGTTGGAGTGCGAAAGGACTCGGCTTGACTCGTGTTATCTGAATTGGGTGAAACAGCACGATGTATTTTGTGTGGGTCCCGGAGTCAACGTTGTGGGTCATCGCCATCCCACGGACTCTACTCCCACGAGAACAACATTTGCTTGGAGCCATTCCGACTGGTTGGGGGGTTGGTCGTGCTGTGTGTCTTCCACCACATAGCTTTCATCGTCACTTGGGTATCATCAAACGTCAAGGCTAGACTGGTGTTTGAAATATTGCTGTGAATGCCATTCTTTGTGTCTCAGGTAGTGATCGACGTGGAACTGCTGGGCTTCGTCTACCACTGGAATTTGGACGTGAACAGCATCACTGTGATTGGTAAGTGTTCGCCTGTGGTCTCTCCCGCACTCGTTCGATATATTGATGGTTGCCGCTGACGTTGGATTTTCTGTTTTCGCTGCTGCTGTTGTAAGAACAACCCGCCCGCGCGACACTTTCACTTCCCGCGTTCCCTCACTACTGGCATATTGAGCACAAACAACGCAGTGGCAAGCAAGTGGGCGTACTCGTGTTGGGGGAATCGTCGCGCGGGCTCTCCGATGTCTCGACCGCAGACTGAAACTGACCTTGGTACTGCTGTTTGTTGTGCCTACCCATCTGTTGGATCTACTTCGCTGCCTCCTTTCACCCCCGCAGAGCTGATCATGGCCGTCGGGTTGGTGGTGGACTACATGGTCCATATCGTGCACTACTTCCTCCACCAGGTAAGTGGTATAACGGGTAGGCCGTGTACCGCCAGGCAGCGTCGCTCTTGGTGCAATAAGTCAGTAATAGTGTCTGCCTCTTCACTGCGGAAGACGCAGCCTCGCTCATGACGTTTCGTGACTTCCACGACGAGTTTCGTGGCTCTGGCCTGCCAGATGTGCGACAAGAATCCACACGAGAACCCAGACACTAGAACCCAACCACGAGACCCCCCTTCTCCGCGCTTGCACCAATCGAACTTTAGGCCATAATAACGTTTGCAAAAGCCTTCAGATCGATACCTAAGCGCATATCCAAGCGCCACGACCACTGACGCCTACCACCTTATCCCTTTCCCATCTTCAACCCGGTGTTATGGGGTTGCGAACGATTAATTTGGCATTGAGAACCCTCCCGCCCACACACTCGCCGCTTTGCTCTCTCTCGCTCCATTTCTGTTTTCAGGACCCCAGGATCCCGAAGGACGCGCGAATCGCCGAAGCACTGGGCGAGATCGGGCCCTCCGTTATGGTGGGAGCGGCGACAACATTCTTGGGAATCATGCCCCTGGCGTTCGCTAACAACGTGATTTTCCGCGTGTTCTTCAAGATGTTCCTCGTCATTATTTCTTTCGGGGTAAGTTGCTCTTGTTTTTGCGCAGCCTATGCATACAACGTTTTTGTTGCCCTCCGTCAAAATGTTGGCATGCCATACCTCTCATCACGGGTTTACGCTTTCAGAGGGAAATTTGTGGGTAGTCCCGTCCCATCTATTGTGACGCCTGTGTACACACCTTTCGGTGAACAAGATTGCCGTGTCAGCCGTGTGTTACACGAGGGGAAGGCCACACGAGAGCTTTTGTTTTCTTCGAAGTATGTACTTCTATGGTTTTGTGGCATCACGGCAATCATGGTATGAAAAAGTGGGGCGTGTTACGTAATGACTTGGGTACGCCAAGGTGCGAAGATCGTATATTCGTATGCATGCTTCGCCTCGCCTCCCATGCTTGATGTTTTGTACCCATCTTTCTCAAATCCCCTTCTGCACACTTGACGTTCGTTCTTTGACTTTCTTCATTTCTCTCACCTCCCCCTCTTGTTAACGCCACCTGCCTGCACAGTTTTTCCACGGTGTGGTATTCATTCCGGTCATGCTGTCGATATTGCCCGACCGCCTGGTTTCCAACTCCGCGCACGGAGAGGGTACGGCATCTATCACAAGACACGACGGAAGCAAGAAGGTACAACCTACCACTGTATGGTGATTTTTGTTGTTGGCTGTGGCCGCTGCCTTGCAAACAATGTTGGTTTTGCTGCCGCTGTTGGATACTCCTTTTTTTTCGTCGATACGTGGCTGCTGTGCTGGCGTTGCTCCCAACCCCTCACATGCTACCGTCGCGGGATGAGATTGATGACAACCGGATTCTTCCCCGTCCCCGAATTTGAACATCTTCAGGAGGCGTCGGCGGTGGTGGTGGATGGAGCGACGTCCGCTTGAAACCGCCGGCACCCGGAGCACGCTACCGTGGGCACGAAGCCCTAACCGCGTGTGCTCGAGCCGAAGCCGAGGGTATTCGTTTTGCGAATCGTATTTTTCCCTGTAACCTGAAACGGGGGGACAAGCGGAAGAAGCGCGGAAACGCTGCTCTACCGCACGGCACGTGTTTCGACATTCCTGAAGCGCGAGAGGCCTGCGTTGTTCCCCTGCCGTTGGATGGAGTATGTGCGGTGAACGCGTGGATGCATACATGTGATCTGATGCAACCCCTCGTTTTTGGGAAAACCTCCCGCACTTGCTTTCGCGTGTCGGCCACCACCACGCAACAAACGGTGGTGGTGTAGTCTAGCCGCGTTTTGAGAAGCACCATGTACGCTGGCCACGCGTAGGGCAGCGAGTTTGGTGGGTCGTTTGTGTTTCTACTGGTTTGCTGTTATGGTCGTCCACATGTGTGTTTCGAATCGAGTGTTGGTGAGTGCACCTCTGGTACAGGGCGGTGAAGATCCTCTGCCGTCCGTGCTGTGAGTTTGCTGTAGTATTGTTTTTTACTTTTGGCTTGACTTTGGGCTGTGTTATTATCGCAACTCATCTTTAAGGGGCAATCGTTTTACCCTTTATATACTACATTCTTTGATGATGGTTTGCTTGTGATAGGAGGAGATGCGGGGTTTTGTGACGGCGTGGTGTTGTTGAAGGTATTGTTCTAAATTTCCGTGCGTTCGTGCCGTGTGCTTGTTGTCTGTGGCCTTTCACGTCTCTCCGAGGAGGAGAATCAACATGTTCAAAGGAAGTAGCTTTTGTCGCAGCGCGCGCTAGGCACGCGCGGTTCCAGTGTCTTTTGAGGAATGACGGTATCGCTTCCGCGCGCAAAGGGGTGTGCAATGAGAGTTGCGTGGTACGCTGCTAGTGGCTCCTGTTAATCGCGTCGCACGTGGCACTTAGGGCCATTTAAAATATGGCTTTTGAGTATTTTCGAAATTGTCTACTTCCAAACGATTTCCAAGTCATCGAAGATTTGCAAGACGTTTTGACATCGCCTCGAAACTTTTAAACACCCAAACTTCGGAAAAGCGGCTCTGACTCGGAAGGGGTCGGTGACCAACCCAACGTTTTTCAGGTTGCCCTGTTGCCGTGCCCGTCGGGGAGCGTTTTGGTGGGACGTTCACGCTGCGCAACCTAACCACTGTCATGCAAGGCAACATCCCATTTTGGCAGCACAACGTCGATGAACCTAGAACCTGGCTGCTGCACGGAGGTTGACTTAGGCAACACAACCCGGTAAGTACAACCTTTTAGGCGGTTGTTATGTGGTGGTTGCGGCGGTTGTTATGTGGTTGCGGCGGTTGTTATGTGGTTGCGGCGGTTGTTATGTGGTTGCGGCGGAAGTTATGTGGTGGTCGCACTGTCGCTTTGACGTGCAACATCTAGGGGATGGATTCTTGCTTACGTCCGTGTTGCTCACGTGGACGGTGCTCGGATCTCTCCGAGATTGAGGTCGCTCGTGGTTTCCTCGAGCTCGATACACTTCGCAGAATAAACTCAAGCACAGTCTACGGATCCATCCCCTCGTGGGAACGATATTCTGTGTCACGCTGCGGGTGCAGTCGTGAGCAACCACTGCTGTTTGTTGTCCCTGTTCAGCGTACGGCATTTGCAACCCAAGTTTCACCCTCACCAGGGTGGGTTGGTTTTGGTGGGAAAGGCACACGTCCAAGTCTCGCCAATTTTGGAGGGGTCTTTCGCTGAAGATCCGGGGCAGGCTGGTTTAGCATGGAGCCACGAACACTCGGAGCACACTGCGGGCGGGCGATTGGCAACATTCACGAAAGAGTGCATGCCGTAAGAACTGATTTTTCACTGGCACTCTCTATTCGTCGAACGCACGTAATATCGTTGGCACTAGCGGTGTCCGCCACTGTTGTCGCACTCGCCAAGGGTGTTTCTCTAGGGGTATCCACCCTGAGGAATAATCTTTCAAGGTGTTTCCGCCAATCTCGTGTAGTCTATTTGTGTTTTGTCGGCAAATGGGTGTTGCCATTCGTGGGTGAGTGCCAAGTTAAAATCACACGCAGGTCATCCGCCCTGTCTGTCTCCTTGCGCACGCTATTGGTAACCCCCAGTAATCTTTCAAGCGGCGGACACGCTTGCGGTGTCCGCCGCTCGCGTGCCGTGTGACAACTGTGAGCGTCAGGGGTGTCCGCCCCCGTGGCGTCTGTTTTTGATTTTCCGTCGCACGTGGTGTCCGCCGCGTTCGTTTGTTTGAGTCAATGCAGCATTTCATCGCACTCTTGGTGTTCACCAGTAGGATTTTCGCGATACAGTTCTTCTCACACGAACAGTTACCGCCGTCCGTGGATGACGTTTTCACGTTGGGTGTCCGCCATGAAGTATTCCTTGTCACCCTCGCATTCTCCGCCGCTTGCGTGTCGTTGACCAAGCGTTAGTGCCCGGGGTGTCTGCTCCTGGGACGTCATTGTTGACGGTATTGGTGTCCGCCAAGTCGTTGTCGTTGTTGGTGTCTAAATAAAACCGCACGCGGGGTGTCCGCCCTGTATGTGTCGTTGTGTACACTTTTGGTGACCACAAGTATTTCTTCCGTACAGGACACGCTCGCGGTGTCCGCCGCTTGCGTGTCGTATGACCAATTGTTGGCGCCCGGGGTGTCTGCCCCCGGGACGTCTGATTTTAAGTTGTAGGCACGCATGGTGTCTGCCACAATGCATGGCGAAAACGAATCAGAACGTTAAGTCAAGGTAGTCAAGCAAAGTACGGGATGGGAATTCGGAACTCTCGCTCCCACGGGAAAAACACTGCGGGTGCCATCGGCCCGGGAAGGGGAACTCCAGCACTCGCTACCGTCCTTCTCCTACCTGCAAAGGCGATCGCTCCTCCTCCAAGCTCGCTACCCTCTCTTGTCGGTCCCACTTAACCCAAGTGGGTTGCGCACCGGCAAGGGTTGGTTCCTCTGCGACGTCTTCCAGCACTCCCTTCTCCTCCTGCTCATCCTCCGCCGCATCCGTTGCTGTACCTCGCGACTAAGGCAGGGGGCGCACGAGCAGGCGGCGGGGCAAAGACGGGCAGAGGTTAGAGGGGTGCCGCTGGGTATGTGCCTTCTCACACCGGGGCCGTATGCATGTCGTGCCCGACCACGAGAAGACGCACTTGTTGACCGGAGTGTTACTGGTGGTGATAGACTGAGCGATCGTGGGCGACTGAGGGGGCACGGGTGCGGTCGGGCGGCGGGTGTAAGAGCGGTTTTCCCGTGTGTCGTGACGTTGGGCTTGTTGCCGGCGACAGCCGATTTTCTGCTGCTGCTGTCGAGCTACTACTGTAGGCGCCCCTGAAGTGGGTCTCCCACACTTCCTACAGTTTTCCCGAACGACTCATGGGCATAGCCCGTGGGCAGCCCGTGGGCAGCCCGTGGGTAGCCCATGGGCGGCCAATGAGAGCCCTTCAACCGAACCAGTGTACTCCTAAACAACAGATTATCTGCCTTGGGACAGGCACTAAAGCGGCTAATAACCCTTATGCTAATCGTAACCCTAACCCCAAGCCCTCACGATACGTGCTAGGTTGGCGCTGGTGGCGAAGTTCTAGGTTGAAGTGCCCATGGTGGGCACTTCATGGGTCGCCCATGGACCGCCCATGGGCCCATGGGTCACCCATGGGCAGCCCATGGGCGGCCCATGAAGTGCCCATGGGGGCCCACGGGTGACCCATGGGTCACCCATGGGTGTCTCATGGGCGGTTTAACTTAACTGTCAGTAGTGTGAGAGATTTCCTGAAGTAGACCCACCATCGAGCTGGCAGTGCCCTCCGCAGTTAAGAACAACTTCCTTATGAACTGTGGGATCTGGAATGCTCCTACCGTGTTGCGAGGGGGCGGAGCGAGAGTGAAACATTGCCGGAAACATTGCCGAATTGCCCTAGCTTCGGTGGTAAGGCTGCGGACTAAATCAGCCCAGTCGAGGTTGGCATCTTGCTTTTAACCCGGCGAAGACGTCGGCCTCACGGCCTTTGAACTCTGCGAAGTGCCTATGTAGAAGAGTACCCACAGAGATTCACAGAGATTCGGAAGAATTCCCCGAAGAACAGGCCAACTTTGTCTTGTGCTGCCGGCGAGGCTGTCGCCATGCCCTCCTTGACGAAGACTTCCAGGACGCATCCGAAGGTTAGTGAAGAAATGCACGTCGAGCAGCGCTATGGAGAACGAAGGTGAGGAGCGGATGCAGACTTTGGTGCGGTTGAGCCATCATCCGGATGATATATCAAAGTGGCCACCCGTTCATGACCTACTGGGGGAAACATAGCGCCTGGCAGAAGGAACAAAATCCGGACACATAGGCCTACCTCTCCCCCCCCCCAGACGGGGGGGAAATTCGAAAATTTTCCAAGAATCGTCGAAAAGTTACCATGAGGTTTAGATGGATTGCAAACATGCCTCGCTCTCGTTACTCCTTCCGCATCTGTCGTCAGAAGCCGGCCCACGCCCAGCCGTGCAATAGGAACACACGTACGGTGGCGGCCCATTCCTACAAAAGTGCAGTACATTCGGCCAGAGCTCGAAATGAGCGAAGCAGCTCAGCTAACTATCCGACAACACCACCTGCCTTGCAAACTTGCCTTTGCCGCTTCTAGCACGGCACAACAGGGAACATAGTCTCGCAAATCTACTCGTAGCCTTGATCTTGTAGGGTTACGTCTGACTTGATCAATCTAACCCTACCCCTACCCCTAACCCTACCCTAACGCCAAAGCGCCGACGCCTCAGAGGAAAACCCGGGGATACATGGGTATATGCCCCCCCCCCAAAACAAATTACCCCGATTTTCGATTAGTAGGCCTACAGTATCTATGTGTCTTGAAAGTTTTTCGCACAGACCCTTGGTTCATTTTGGTAAATGAAAGAAAAAAAGGATATTTGATCACCTGGCCCAATTTTTCCCACGAGCGGCCCTCCAGCTTCTTCTGGGCCTTTTTCAGCCGACGAGAGTTAGTTGTAAATGGGCAATGCCCCCAGAATCCTCGACAGCAACTGTTGGTGAAACCTGGGGAGCGGCGCGAGGGGCTGGGGTGCTGCAGGTGCTGCTGGGGCAGTGGTATGGGCGGCACGGGCGGCATGGGGAGCACGACCGACTGGCTTGTTGTGCGGGTTTCTGGTCTCTCCTGGATTGTCCGGAACTCGTTTGCTTGGCGACTGCCCCGCTTAACTTGTTGTTCAGGTTGCTACCCATGTTTGTTGTTGTTGTTGCTCCTGCTGATACTGCTGCAATGGGCGGCGGCGGCAGCGGCGACGGCGGCGGCAGTTGCTCCGTAGATCCGCAGAGGCGGCGGAATTAACCTGTTGGCGTTGTGGCCTTGCTGCGCCCGTGGCTACGCTGCTGCTGGGCGTTGTTCTGCGGGGTGTTCGGCGCGGGTCTTTTGACGGCGGCACGGGTCTGTTGGTCGATGCCCGTCGTCGCGTTGGCTTGTACGGCTGCCGCAGGACCCGGCGCGCCGTGCGCGCGAGCCTCGTGGTGAGCTGTTTGATGTTGTTGCTGCTGCCTTCCACCCCAAAATCGTATCATTCCTACAAATGGCACCCCGTGACTCCTCGGATATCATCACACAGTACTTGTAGTACGCATTGGCTCGCCTCGCGCCCAGCGAGAGCATACAAACGCTTTGGCAACGTGGTGCTGTAATTCCTTTTCCCCCGCATCCCCTGCTCTCGAATCCCAACACGCCAACACGCCCGGTAACAGACCCGGTAACCATGGGTGACGATCTTCCCGGTATGCAACTCCCCGATCTGGGAGATCCGGGAGATCTGAGAAAAATTAATGTTCTCTTCCATGAGCATGTTTCTTAAGGAATAATGAAATGTTTGGCCCGCAGCTTTTCGTTCGATGAAAATGTATATCTTCAGGTTCGCAGCCCACACAAAGCACGCGTGCGTGTTCTTTCTCCGCTCAAATTGCAAGCGGGTGAGCACCTCTCTCTGCAACCTTCACCCACGTTCAAGAAGAGAAGGTGTGCGACGAGGAAAACGAAACGTGTGTGGTACCGAGCTTTCGAGATGCCCCCCGACGGCCCCAGTGCAACCGCCGGAGTTGCCCGGGCTGGCAACGCAGGTAGGCACGAAAGGGAGCAAAAACGTTCGCGATGTACTACATATATCTATCATGTTGTTTGATATGGTAGCAGCTATGCTGCAGTGCACGCTTGCTTTGGGTCGGACCAGGTGATCAGAGGGGGGTCTCCAATGTTCGTAGGTGATGGTGATGAGCAACACGTGCGCAGTCTATACAATCGACCGACTCTGGACGGGAAACATCAGAACGGCGGCGAAAATGTAGCCCTGCCAAATATTATTTTTTACAGTTCGAACACATGCCGCAGTGCTCGAGTGGGGGTGCTGCGTAGATACTCATGCGACCGCTGTCTCGAGATTGTCCAGCTCCCTCAGACACGACTCGGTACTGCGTCCCTCTTCGCCACGTTGCCCCACCTCCCCCCCCTTGCACAACAAAATGCTGCAGACGGTTCGAAAGTTTCCGCATGGTCGATATTCCACGGCAGGATCAACAAAGTGGCCGACACCTTATTCTACCGCCTGGGCTACTGGGTGGCCACGCACCCCAAGCGGACCCTTCTCATCAGCCTTGTCTTTGTGATCGCATGCTGCTTCGGGTTCGCCAACTTCAGGGTCGAGGCCGATGGTGAGGAGCGGGGAGCGAGAAAAATCACGATGATACCCTGGGTGCAGCCGTGCATCCTGTAGAAGAAAGTATCCTCCAAGACCAGCTGATGAAGACGGCCTAACTGGCGGCGGGGTAACATTTGGAATGTTGGGTGTAGACGTGTAGACCACAGGTCCGGACGCCGGAGGCTTCGCCCCCCCCGCCCTGTCGAGGGTGTAGCCGTCCGCGTCCTTCGTGCAGGGTGAGAGTTACAAGCAGTGCATTGTAGGTTTCTGCTGACAGATGCACACGAAGTTTTCCGTACAAGGCGGAGAGATCGCACCGATCGGGGAGTTGCTGGAGGTCGCACCGGGGGGTACGCAAAGAAAACCAAGAACGGCATTGATGACCGGGTCGGTGAGATCGCGCACGCACCTCGCCGACACCAAAATCCAAGATTGAGCTCTTTTGAGCTGCGGGAAAAGCGGCACCAGAAAGGGTCTGCCGTAAATTAAGAACTACCAGTAGGCTCGAATTTTGAAGAATATAAAAAAAAGGGGCAAGAAATACACCTCAGGGATGAGCCCCAAACTCTATGGTATGTAGCAGCCTTGTGCCCGACAGGAGGAGGTTGCGACGAAAAAATAAGAAACTGAACCTCGACCAGATTTGACTTTTCTTATCTCCGGGCCCGGTGTGTACATGTGCGTACCTTGTAATGCGGGGACGGTGTCAGCGGAGCGCCACTCCCATGTGTATGTACGTACGGTCCGGGTTCACGCGGGATATCAATTATTTTCATGCGTTTGGTATGGGGGCTGTCAACCGTACACACACTCAATATCAAGCGCACGACACAGACAAAACGCACCCTACCCCACCTTCGCAACGATTTATAATCTGCTGCGTACGTACTGGTTTTCGTAGAAGAAGACCGAAACGAGAGCTGGATACAGCCTGATGCCTTACGTACCAGTGCCCCAGATGGAATCCACATCGTTTTTGTCCTTGCTACAGGCATCGCCAAACTCGCATTCAAACCCATGACCACCCGCTGCATGGAAAGCTGCTACGTACCAGCCTGCGCTGCCGTTGCAGGTTCTCCCAGCCAGCAACAACAATACCTAGACCGCACCAAGCCGCACACGTCTTCTTGTAGATACACCGGTAACAAATGTTGCGCGGCGGAGAGATGGCACCAACCGGGGAGATGGTCCCGGTCGGGGGGAGGGCACCTGTAGGCCCGCTGCGTGTATTTCATTGCATATCGCACCGGTCGGACAGATGGCACCGGGGTGCGAAAAAGAACAAGGAAAATACATGCACAACACCGATCGCGCCGTTGGAAGGCTTTTGCACCGGAATGGATGCCGGAAGCGGCTTTTCTGGCAGCGGCAAAAGTGCCGTGAAGAAGGCCCTTGTACTCGGCAATGAGTACCAAGCAGACCCCATACAGAATAAACCTCTTGGGATAAGCAGTGCCCTTCACGACCCGACATGAAAGCACTGCTGCGTTTGCTGTGCTTGCTGTTTTTTTCTCCCCGCATTTTTTTCTTCGTGCCTATCGCCTACGTTCGTGATGTACATGACTGTCCATTCTCGCATGCCCTCCTCGTCCATCACGTTGACTACGCCAACGATGACGACGACGATGACTACGACGACGACGACGACAGGGGAAGACCTCTGGGTGCCAGCAGATTCCTTGACCAACGATCAGCGGGACATCATCCTTGGGGACTTCGATGGCGGTGAGATAAACCTTCATGGGAGTCAAGCAACCTGTCTGTCCGCTCCCTGTTCTTTGAAGAAACCAACGCCGGAAACGATCACCGAATGCTCTACTTGAGTACCTCGGTGACCTCACGCATTGAGGCCACGACCATCTCATGATGCTTCTTGTGTCTCGCCTCATTTTCCGTTGTGTTCCTAGTCAATCGCCTCGTGGTTGGCGGTACTCAACTGTGACGCCCACTTCCGCCAGTTATTGGCCTAGCCAACAAGGAAACTCTGATGCAATTCGACCCCGTGATGCCGACGTTTGCGGTGACTCCGTGCTGTTCTGTGTGAGAGCATTCACGTACCCCCTCTCACGAAACATGCTCCACATCTTGGAATCTATGCTTACGCCTTGTGCCTCACCCATCGTCTTTAGTACTGTCCTGCCTGTGCTCGCGCGCTAACCCGCCCAATACTATCTTTGAACGCAATGCGTTGTGCCTTTCAGGCGGTGAGTTTGCCTCCTTTCTGGTGGAGAGCCCGTCTGAAACGGGCAGCGTGCTGACTAAGGAATCGGTAGATGCGGTATGGGAGCTGGATGCGATCGTCATGGCCGTCAAGGTAGAACCAGTCCTGGAAATTGTTGATGTTGATGTCACTGCCATCGTGTGCCATTGCTGCTGTTGTTGTCGTAGTTGCCGTCGTCAATGCAACGGTGTTTTCTGTCTTGAATGTTGTTTTGAATTGGTCGCAACACCGCACACTAGTAGCATGTGCACACCACGCGCTTTTTCACATTGTAACAAACATGCTGGCCGTGCTCTCCTCATATTCCTCATTTGTTTCGTGTTTTTTGTGTGTTGAAGGTTGATGGCAACACCTACGCCGACGTGTGCTTAAAAGAACTGGACGGTGTGACGTGCGAACAGCCGTTCCGTGGGATCACTCGCTTCTGGGGAGATTTCGCAACCTACGAGGTAAGTATCCCAGAACCGCGTCTTATTCGGGCATCGTGGGGACTTATGTCACTTTCTTTTGCATGCCAGGCACCTTGTTTTGGAACAACCTGTGTTTACTTGAAGTTAAACCTTGTAACTCAAACAGTGGAAAGACAAGAAAAACGGAGTGTTCGCGACGTACCGTACAATCTTGCGGGGGCCACGTGGTTGCCTCGAAGGTGGGTTGCAACCATCTCCCTCGTCGTCCTCCCGCTGCACGTCCACAAACCAGTGCACTACAAGCGATCTGCTCCTCCGCTATCTGCAATCTTGTTGCTTCTTTTAGCACACACACGTAGGTTTTTCAGGCTGCTCTACACCCACGCCTTCCGACCCAACACGCATTTGTTTGCGTGCTTCCCGAACCTATTCATAAGGCCTCCGTATCAAACGATGCGGATGTCCTTGCGGCCGTGAACGCGACCACCTTTCCGGACGGGTCGGCGGTCAACCAGCAGGCCCTCTTCGGCAACGGGATCACCTATGACGATGACGGCAACATCTCCGGAGCAACGGCTATCATTCAGGTAACCGACCGCGTCCTGTCGTGATGATTACGCCTACTGACACACGTGCTGGATCAGGTTGGATATAAAGCGGAAAGGGCACTCCCCAATATCCTGTTGGAACTGGAACGTTCCGCTGGTCAAGAGAGAAATGAGCGACGACGACGACGACCACACAGGCATCGAATGCTGCTGCTAAAACCCCTGGTGTTGCGTATCAGCGATGTCGTTTGGTCCGGCGTCGGTTTGGACTGATTGACTACTTTAGTTTATGTCGACGCGACCGGGATGGCGTATTTTCGCTTTTCTCTCTTCGTTCTCGCGTACTGTGCTCTTATCACTTCGCGTGAACGGCGAGAGTAGTAGTGTCCCAATGCGTCCATCATGATTTTGACGTGTTCCTGCAACCAACTTCACCGCGCTTTGTGACTGCCGGTTCGCAGGCGTACGCGCTCGATTCTGACTCTGATGAGGACGCGGGTATCAATGAGATTGTTTACGACTGGAATGAAGCGTTTCAGGTAAGAACTCACGCAAGAGCTCTGCCATCGAGACGCTCCGTCAATGCGCAGCACCCATCATGAAATTGGTTGCCCACTCTTGTTGAGGATGACCGGATTCCCAAGTCATCCGTCACTGGATGTTCACTTATAATCGGTATCTTCTTTCTTGTGGGCCCCATTTCCCACGGTATACGTCAAATGGCTCTCACCATAATCGATACACCTTCACGCTCTTTTCATGTGGTATCGTGAGCCCGTTTTCTGTACCTCTTGCATGCTCTCTTCGAGATGACCCCAACGCTGCCGGTCGTCATTTCCCGAAAGTGGCTCCGGGCCCAATGGAAAGGCGCATCTCGCCTTGGCTCCAAGCCCCTTTTCTCACTGCCGTAAGGTACATGGAATATGTGCAGGGGTACAAGTTTTATTGTCAAATGATGTTTGTTCTCTTCTGTCTGTCTCTGCGTACTATCCGTCTTCGATGTGTTATTGTTTTTCCGTTTCTTGTCAGGACGCTATGGATGCAGTATCGGAAGATTTCGATGTTTTCGGCGTGTTCTACCTCACCAGCCGGTCAACCGACGACGCCATTTCTGAGTCCGTATCGGGCGAAATATATCTCTTCGTGATCGCCTGTAAGAGGACAGCCCAGTCGCACAAATGGCTTCGTGAAAACGACTCAGACTTGAACAGCCGAGGTTCACTGCAGGCGCCATCCCTCAAAATTACTTCTAAGTCACATCTCGGGCGGGGGGAATAGCTTAACCTTGTGCTGTTTCGTGCTGCACATGTTCCGTCGGCATTGATTGTGTGACAATTTTTTATGCGTTTTTTTTCACAGACGTCGTTTCTTTCAGGCTGCTTTGACCAGTCGTTACATGTGTAGATACCACCGCCACCGTGGTGCTGGGTTACTGCTGCATTGAACAGCGTCATTTTTCCACCCTCCCATTCGTGCCTCGCGTTGCAGACGTCCTGATGATCGCGTTCGTGTCGGTGACGATCGGCCGGTGCTGCCGCGGACATGTCAAGCAACGAAGCTGGTTGGCAATCGGCGGGATCGTGTTCGTCATTGCCGCCGGTGTGGCCGCCTACGGGGTCAACAGCGGCTTCGGTGAGTTAGCGCCCACCATCAAAGGCTCGTTGACACTTTCCCGCCCCTGGAGGACTCGGTTGGGCGAAGTGGTGTAGCAAAGCAACCCCGTTGAGCTCAGACGGCGATGCACGTGGGTGCGGAACAACAAGAGCCACTTCACTTGCCTAACGTGCGTTTGAATGACTTACATTTTTGTTACGGTTTTACTGGGGCTTCACTAGCAGTGGTTGCAGTACTTTTTCGGATTCCGTTGAGGTGGACGCAAGGCCTTGTGGACACGCCGTTGCTTTTGCCGCGGGCCTGTGGGTGGTACCTATGTTCACGACCCTGCCTTGAGTGGTCAGCTGGAGGGCGGTAGAAGTAGCAGCAGCCTGCTTATTTTGTTTGCCCCCCTCCCGACCTCACGACCACCTCTCTCACACTACCGCGTTTCAGGCGTGGAGGCGAGAGAAGCCGGACTATTTGATGTGTACATTGGTGGGTTTTCACCGTGTTCTCACTCTCGTTGCCTCAGTGTCACATCTGAGCTGCTGCGAAAGAGGCCAGGAAACCCGCAATATCAAGACCCCCCCCCCCCCCCCCCCACTGATGGGAAACCAACTATTACCCCGGGGAAAGGGGCCCCAACCCGCTGCCCCGAAGAAAGTTTTCCATGTGAGGAAAAAGCGGGCGTCCAAACTGTTCCCCCCGGGTCTTCCTCTGGACGAATTTTCCACCCCCCGCGCGGCTGGCCGGGGCCCA